CGGAGGGCTGTTCAGAACCATGGAGACGTGACGATGATGAGGGGCGCCTGGGGTTGGGCATGTAGTTGGAGCAAAAATTTTGGAAAATTGAATTGGGGGACGGCTGGGTGAAAGATGAAGGATCTGAAGGATTTCGAAGCGGATTTAAAAATCTAAAAACCGAAGTCTAAAAATTCTAAAAACAGAAGAAAAAATGATAATTTCAGCGGTTTAAAAGGCGATTCGACAAAATACCGAGAAAATTAAATGTTGTAAAATGACCGATTTTCATTATCCGAATTAGCATTTTAAAGGCACCGGCAAGACCGGATTTAACCAATTCATCGACGCACTAATAGACAATCGAGAATCCGGCGTTAGCCTTAAATGATCATTTTTGGAATATTACAGAGTTTCAGGATACATCAGGCTACGAAACTAGAGACTACAGTAACCAACAATTTCTAGAACTTTGGGAAAAGCGTAAAGAGACTTTTCAGGTTGCCGGAAATTGGAAACTTTTTTGATGGTGCCTACAGTACTCCTAACTTGACTGTCCGCGCTACTGGATGAACCACTCTATCTTCATCTATCTTACTTTTGTCCTCGAACCTTTCCAAGGCCGATCGATCGATCGCGACCCCCCAGTCAGCCCGCCGCTCACCTACGCCGATCGAATGCCAGATTGCACAGAGGGAAGGAATTGAGACGGAGGGCTGGCTGGCAGGGATGATTTGGGGACCGTTTTCGGGCAAAAATTGGAGATCGGACTTTATGAGAATAAATATAAATACAAAACAAGACCTCTTCTGGTCTCAGAATCAGGCGTAGGGCAGCCTGCATCAGTGGATTTAAGATCGAAATCGAGTTTCAGACCGCCCAATAGCACTATATTAGAGGCTGAATTTTAAACCCGTATCTCTCGGTCTCCCGCTCTCACTCTCTCTCTATCTCGCTCTCTCTCTCTCTCGCTCTCTCTCTTTAATTCTATCGCTTTCAGAGTATCATCCTCTCACACCAAATTGGAGCATCTGTTTTTATTTTGTAAAATAGATATAAGGGCCGAGGATATTTGCTTTCGTGCTGTCAGAGAAGTATAGGAAAAATTACTTGAAGCTTGGATATTTTACTATACTTAAAGTCCCGACACTCGCTCTAGGCGTGTGCAAAAATGAAAATCTCGAAAAATTTACTTTTGCGGTAATCTCCCTAGCGGCAATGGCTGCTAGAAGGGGAAACGATCCCCACCGTCGCTTTCCAAAAATTCTGATTGCCGAAAACGGGATTTGCGAAAAGATCACATTGGAAGAAAAACTTTGCAAAATTGATGTGAAAAAGTTGGCCCTAGAGCGCCTGAAAATATGTAGCTCGGAAATTTAATTCCGATTTTTCACCGAAAACTGTATCAACGACTGTGCCCAAAGTTCAGGCTCTGCCAGAGGCAGGTGAAGCCCATTTTCAGATCCAACTACCGTATCCCGATCGAGTCACCACTTCCTCGCCGATCCAAATCCCGGTGCTTTTTCTCGCCCACCTCCTCCCTCAAGGCTAGATGTACCAGATAAAGCCGCCTCTGGAAAAACGGGCTCGGAACCGATTCTTCGTGGGTGGCCGTCATCGGGTCTTCCCAAGGAATTTTCGGCAAAAAAGTGGCCGGACAGCGCCAAAAATTAGACGGAAGAGGTGATCCGAAATGGTCAGAAAAGGTCCGAAAAGCCCAGGAGGAGCCGGGCTACCGTAATCCAATGACTCCAGCTTTTTTTGGGTGGACCGAAATCCTCGGGTGGCTGATAAGCATGACGGCCGGCGGTAGGGTTGGCGTGGGAATCTTGGCAAATTGACAGTGGGTGACGGTGGAGATTAATGAGGGCCATTAATAGTGTTGATGTACCGTATCATCGAGGAGATGGGAAGCTGACGGAAATGAGCTCTGGAAAATTCTGACATTACTAAAATGCCAGATAACCGGAACTGCAAAGAGCGGGAATGAGAGAGACTCCTCAAGCGGCTTTTTTCAATGTTTCCAGATCTTGTGATTTTTGCTATTTTCCAGTATAAAAAGTGGAAACTACAAGGTACGACAGTAAATTTTTAACCGCCGTTATCGGTAGAGAGCGCGCAGAATGTCAGCTAGATCCGCGAAGCATATGCAAATTTGGGAGTTGTTAGACTAATCAGCCAGTCAATTGCCATTTGACACCAGGTGATAATTGGGGAGTAACAAAATAAAAATCAATAGCGGGTTAAATATTAACAGGATTGCCGGTGTTCAGATTTCTCAAAGATGGCTTTCCCGTGGCTTGAATTGTGAAGGCGTCAATTCCTGCGTCCATATCAGAAAAAGCGCAATCACCACCTAACTATTTACTTGTTTTTGACACCCACGCTCACTTTCACATCACTTTCCGCCCTGCAATTGTCGTCAGTGTGGCCCATCTTAGGGCCAAAATGTGGCGAGCGCAGGTGGAGGGGCGCCCTGGCTGAGGTTGCGCCCCAGCCGGGTTCCCATGGCAACCCGGTGGAAAAACCTGGGGGAAAGCGGTGAAAGGCCAATTTTACCTTTCTTGAGCGCTTCGACCGAAGGTTGTAATGTTACCTGTTGTACTCAGTTTCATAATTTTAAGGATATCTTCCCTTTTTTAAGCGAATTATCGATTTTAGCGGGTTTTGAGGTAAGCGTGACGCGTTTCCGGCTCCAGCTAAGCTTCCGAGTTACGTTTAGGTCAGATAGTATCTGCAAAACGAAGAATATACGTTGTTTTAGCATTTTCTATTATTTTTTACATTTTTTTCGTACATTTCCTGGCTAATAATCTACTATATATAAATTTCTAATGTCCGTACGCCCGCCGACCGACCGGGAATTCAGCCAAATTTTGCATTCAAATCCCAAATTCAAATGCGGGGGAGGTCCAGCGCTGAACTCCTGCGTAGCGGGGGGTCAGCGCTGGTGTCAGTTTAAACTTTTTAGAGCAGTCTCTATGGCTTCGAAAATTAGATTACAACTTAAACTCTTTTTCTGGGGCTAAAGCGTTTTTTCATTAGTTTAAATCTTTAAAGAGTGTTAAAAACCTATGATGGAATATTCCTGGCTTCGCAAAAGGCTAAAATTTTTGTAAAAAGGTTAAATTGCAGGATTGCGAAATACCAGCTTCTCTTAAAAAACGAGCCCAGCGGATAGCTTAAGTTTTCTAAGCCGAAGCCTAAGTCAAACTTTAAGTCAGTTTCTAGCCGGATCTCTGCAATTTTATGACTATTCCTGAACCCGACGTCTTCAAAATTAGCCCCAAAATTCTCTCAAAACGGCAGGTGAAGTTTTCCAGAAGGCTCCAAAAACCCCGCCCCCGGGCCCAAGTCACAGAATCGAAATCATACCATAACTTTTTGTATTTTTAATAGTTTCTGTCTTCTAGTCTTCTTCCCCATTTCTCCCTCTGGTTACGCAAATTAATGGGTGATGGTTTGTCAGGGAAACAGAAGACCCACAAAAATCGTCGCGGGCTAGAGGAATCCCTATGGTTACCCCGGGTCGACACAAATCGCGTTTTCGCTGTTTTCTGGTTTGTTACCCGGGCGGTGGTGGCAGATCTGTATTTAGCGAGTAATTGGTGGTGGTGAGGTCTAGCGTCTGGTTTATGCTAATTGCGGTAGAAATTTGTATATTTTGGTGCTTTGTACTTTTTGGAATCGATTCCGAAGGTCGTGAATTAGGATTTCAACGATTTTAGGCTTATTCTAGCCTATTTTTTTGCTTGTTTTTTTCATTTGTTGTCAAGTTTTTCACAAACTGCAGCAAAATATTCTTATTTTAACTTTAAAGAGTTTGCAAAAAAAAATAGAAAAATCTGAAAATAAAGCATTTTGGTTCTGGTTTTTGCCACTTTTCCTTGTATCCGTGTTCTTTTTTGTTGAAACAAGCGTCTTGCTATCGAATTTAACGCCTAAATCCTCTATTTTAGTTGCTGTATTTTAATGGACTTCGAAGCGACAAGAAAACTCTACTCCGACGTCATCGAGAAACCGGCCCTCACCGATAAGCTACTCTCCCGGCCTCCCTTCAAATTTCTACTCGATGTTTTCACAAATTCGATTGCTGCTACAGGGTATTTAAGGGTAAGTAACCTTAAATAGAATTCTGATCATCGTTTTAGTAAACGTTTAATGCTTAAAAAACAACGAGACAAATTTTATACGGCAATCAAATCAGTTTCCACTTCTTTTTCCAGTTTTGAGCTCAAAAAACTGTAATTTTGTAGTTTTCACTTTGAAAATCGGCAAATTTCCTTATTTAGGACTCGTTCCCACCCTCATCACTCGACGAATCAAATTTTGGTGACAAAGATGGGAAAGTCGGGTTCTTGGAACGAATTATCGCAGCTGCGAATACCGATGGTTCCCTGAACGATGTGAAAGCCGGGAAAATCGTCGCCGGCAAGGAGCCGGAGTTAACTTTAAAGGTAAGTACTACCTGGTTATTGACAAAATATAGATACGATAAACAGTTCTAGTGCTATTTTAAGCCTAAATGCGTATTTTCAGCTCCTCCAAAAGTTCGCCCAAGAAGCCCGCCAACACCGCGACGGCTCCGCCGGCAGCAATAAGGAGAATAAGAAAAAGTCTTCTTCTAAGGTTTCTTACCCCGGAGATCTAGAAAATAATAACAATGTAATTTAGGAGAAGAAGGAATCCTCCAAATTATCTTCGAAATCAGCAGACAAAACATCAGAAAAATCATCAACGAAAGATGCGGAGAAGAAGAGTAAAACTCGGGTACGTTGGAGCTTGCGAGGAGTATGTAATTCAAAATTGAGTTGGAGCTAGATAAATATGCTTGAAATGAGCTAGATGTTTGTAATTAGGCAAAATTAAGCTTTACAGCCAGATTATCGTCAAAAATTGTCTGGTAATTGATTTGCTTTGTGGAGTTTTGCGATGTATTTATTTCAAAAAGTGGGCCTAAAAGTAATAGGCCAATAACTATCGATTTTTTTGAAGAAACCGAATAGTCGAAAAACAATGTCATGGATTTTCAGGACAAATCAAAAGAGCCCGAACCTAAAGAAAAGGAGAAAGACAAAACGAGAAGCAAGTCCAAGGAGCGGGACTCGAAGTCAAAGACGAAAGAAGCGAATATCAAGGTGAAAAACTCCTAGAATTGTTGTCATGCCATTACTTTTAGCCCGACAAAGAACGCTCGAAAAGCAAGGAAAAGTCATCAACGAAGGATAAGGAGAAGAAGGTCAGAATTGAGAATCAGCCTTCTAACTTTCTTTTTAGAGCTCAAAATCTGACAAGGAAAAGAAGGAAAAGAGTGCCAAGAAGCCCAAGATGGAGGAACAGGTAAGCTTGTGTTGATAGAGCTTGTTAAATTTTTGTTATTTCAGGTGCCAGCATCAAGAAGAGGTTCTGTTGTCCGGGTACCAGAACCAGGACCGGCTTTCGACCACGTCGAACAGGAAACGCACTTGGATAGTCATGGTAAGGATAAGGAACTATTTTTAGTTATTACCGTAGAAAGTTACGCAAAAATTAATACAACAAAAAGCAATAAAGCCACTATTTTAGACGAAGAACAATCAGCAACGGCAAAAACAGAGGATAGCGGATTCGGCACGGAAATGGATCGCACGATCAGCCCCAGGCCGCCACCCCCGGAATTGAGAGAGCAAACGAGGTAGGAATTGCACAAAATTGACATAAAACTTCTGGCTTAGAATTGGAACGAGTATGGGTCGGCCTCAAACATCAATGGGACGACCTGGAACTGCCGCCGCGAGAGCTGCACCTCCAAAACTGAAGAAGAAGCAGATTCTGGAAATTGAGGAGAAGCCGCAGGTTAGAAACTCAATGCAAGAATTATTGCAAATGGCCCCAGAATATCTAACAACTCATAAAATAGTTTAAGGCATACCTAGTAACTAAAAAATAGGCTGAAATCTCTATATAAAACGAAGAAGGTTCGATATATTTTTAGGTTGTCGAGCCTAAAACCGAAATCTTCACTGAAACACCAGCTGCAAACCAAGTGGAAGAGGACTTTTTTGGTGGAAGAAGAAGAAGCAAGACCGGAAGTGGCAAAAGAGGAGTTTGACGTAAGAAACTTTTTCAAAGAACCAAAATGATGATTGTAGGTTATATTCTAAAAACATCATTTTAGCCTAACGCTGAACATGGAGGCCTTGTAACCCGAATTATGGAAACAAGAGAGCAATTGGATGATGGTCAAGGGAGAATGGAGCACGACGACATAGATGACGGGGAGATGGCAAGGCAGAGGAGTCATGTACGTTTGGAATCAAGTATTACTTCATGCTAAGGATATAATTTACTGTGAAGAAGACTCTACCCATACGTTTTTAGGTCGAAAACCTCCAGAAAAATCTCCAAAGAGTCACGCAGACAGCCTTTCCGCTGGCAAAACTGTTCGATTTTGCACAGGTAAGGAGAACGATGTTGTAATGGCGATACTTGCATTGAAAAACCCAAAGGTTTTACTCTAACTGCTCTAACTAATCAGCTCCCTTTGAAAATAGACGTTAAGCAAAAGCTTTCTGAAGCAACATTGGAATTCAATATTAGAAAAACTCAGTATTAGAAAATTTACCTAAGTAATGATTTCAGGAGGATCTCGACTCGATGATGAAGGAATTGGAAAAATGGAGAAATGAGACAAAGAAAAATGAGCAGGAGCTGAAAGAACGAGAAGCCCTAGGCCACAGTGAAGCGCATAAGTAAGTTGATTTTTGAAATTGAAAAAACTTGACTGATTTTAAAGCCAAGAATATATAGTACCCCTCTACTAGCGCGATAACAGGTGGAAAAGAAAAAAGAAAAAACGAAAACATGCTTGAAATTCCAGATTTGCCGCTCAACTCGCTCAGCTCGAGGATTCCCTGCGAGAAACAAGGCAAAGCCTGCAAAATACGAAAGGAAAAATGAACTCGAACGAAGAGCAGTTGAAAATAATGCTGGGCAGCATGTAAATTCCAATGTGATGTTTACAAACCTTTTGCTACCATTTAAAAATACAATTTAAACTACGACTTTTCCCTGTGATTTTGATGATTCGAAAAGTTTCCCTATGCTTGCCCTATTTGCCTTGCAAAATCTCTTCTGGCCTTCTTTGAAAAATTCCCCAGATTTGCATACCCTGACCCTGTGATTGGCTCGTCAAAATATTGTAAATATGGCTTTTCGAAACGTCTATTTAATGTTAGTCGGCTAGCTGGTTAAAAAATAAAGATAAAGCACGCTATGACATAGTAAAATCAACGAACGAGACATGGGAAACGAAGAAAATTACTTATATACCTTTTTCGGTGATGCAGGGATTACAAGGCGATGTCGAGAATAGGCTTCTGTAGCCTTTATGATAGATTGAAACAAATGTTAGGCTGTTGATTCCACCACTTTACCGATGGACAAGGCTTGAGAACGGAGAAGGCTGGTCCCACTGATAAATGGCAGGCTGCCTCATGCGGCTCGGATAGGAAACGCGGGTACGGTACCGTTAGCCTATAGCCCACCCAACCCGTTCCGACGCTTTTGCCGACCAAAAAAGGACTCATTCTCCGTTTATGATCCATCATCATTTCGCGACACCAAGCAAAGTGGCCGGACTTTTTGTTCGTTGATCCAAAGAACACAAAAAGGAGGCCACTTTTTCATGCATCGCAAAGACGCGGTGGAACAGAAATTCTCGCGCCTTGGACTGATTAGCCCAAAAAAATGGCCTTTCTTTATCAAATTGGATAGTCGTGGGAGAACCCAGCGGAGCAGACGAGGCAAAAAAATAAACACATAATAAGTAGCTTTTCAATATTGTTTAAAAATTGGAAAAGCCTTAAAGAACTCCGCTCCTAAAATTGTATGGAACAATAGCTTCGGAGATTGAAACGGAGCTTGTTCGTACAAAAAAAATAGAGAAGACTCGAGTCAAGCCAACAACATAGCAGGAAATCGTTTTAGGAGCTTTCTAAGAAAAATCCTGAGCTCCACTTTTACACATCGAGCAGTCGTTTTTTTGTAGTTTTTGAAGGTTTTGCTTAACATTCATTTTTATTTATAGCTCCAATTCGCGAAGAGGGTATTCTAGCAGAGATTCCCTATGAACCGAAAAATAACTGCCAGAATTTACTCGTCACGTTTCCGCGACCTATCAGCGATACCGTGAATAGTGCTTCCATTTTTCGATGCTATTTTTCTTGTTTTCTTTGTTGCCCTTCCTCGTCCCATTCGTAGGTATTGGCTTGTAGGGAAAGGTTTAGCCCCCGGACTGTAACCTCCCGAGGAATCGAGGGTATTCGATGGATAGAGGATGGGGTAGAGGGGGACGCTGGAAGCCAGTTCCCTGCAACCATTCCACATAGCTACTCTACCCGTTCGAGTAGCCCCCCAACGACCATCGATTACGCCTTTACTCGTCCCAGATTCTGCATGGTGACTGAAAATCCTTCCTTTATTAGTTAGTTGCTATTTGAATTCGATGCGTTCCGTGACAACAAGCGAAAATCTCAGCCAAGAAAAATCGCGTCTGAACGCTTAGAAAATGCAGATTTTTACATATTTTAAGCTTTTTTCGTGCGTTTTTGACGTATGATGTATTTTGTAAATATTCGAGCTTTCTGAATCGACGACTATGTTTTTTCCGCTTCTCGCTTTAATTATCGAACTGGGGGTCCTCAAAAACTGTTCAAAATCAACTTTATACTTGATCGTTACTCTGGTCGGCTTCTATCTCTCTCTCGCTCTCTCTCTCTCGCTCTATCCCTCTCGGTCTCTCGGTCTCTCTCTCCCTCTCTATCTTTACTGTCTCTCTCTCTCTCTCTCTTTTTCTCCCTATCTCGCTCTCTAAAAACTAAAAATTAGGAACTTTCAAGGGTTCAGGATTACGGTACCAAAATCACCATTTACCCCAACAAACCCTACAACTTTCCCAATACCAATAACCAAACCGGTTTCACTTGCAAGTTCCATCAAGGTCTTGCCCTCCTCCTATCCATATACAGGGGGGTCGTATTATGCATTGGTTAGCTAAAAAAGTGGGGGTAAAGCCTAAGGGTCAACTTTCCAAAGAGCTTCAGGAGGATGCATTGTTCCCCGCTTTGCCCCCGGCCGGGACCGGAAACCGGCCATTTTTGTGCCCGTTTACAGCCTAACCCCTGGGGGCGTTCCCCCATAATTACGGTGAGCAACCGAGGGAGGCGAACGCAAACCCTGACTCGGGTAGGCGCAAGGGGTGGGCTGCAGGTATTCCGGTAGTTAGCGTCTATTTTGCATATTCATTTCTAAAAGCTCGAACTCTACTCATGTCCTGGGAAACTCTTGAGCACGATCCTAGACTTTAGCTGTTGGGTTTTTTCCGATGGCTAAGAATTTTGGATTTTTATGGTTACCGATATCTAATTTCAGGAACTCGGTTTTTGCACCGAGCATGAGCCTGACCCTCCGTTAACTCACTGAGCCTGCTTGAGCATGCTCCGTTTTTATCAATCTTGGCAAAAACCCCGGCCAATTTCAGGCTTAATGAATCCAAATTCGAGGTGTATAGGAAGGTCTCGTAGCCGAAGCTTGGCTACGTCGGATTGCTATGTACAGCCGCATAATATATTTTGTGCGCATTTTCCCTCCACGCTAAAATGCACGATGGTTAAGCTACGGTAAGGTACCTATTGAAAATTCGCCTTTATGAGGTCTAAAAATGCAAGGGAATATTCTAAACAAGGAAACTCTCGATTTCGATTTCAGTTGACGGCTTTGGGATCGAAACCTTTACTGCGATATTTTTTAGAACCCGTGGATCAGCGGGAGTAAAATTTTGAGATTTTGAAATTTGTTACGATTAGCGCGTTTTTACGGTTCTGTATCTTAATTTTAAATATTTTTTTAAGATTTGCTAGGCGCTTGAGCACCATCGAAAATTATAAGAAACGTTTCAGAGCAGTAATCCATCGTATATGGTATGCCACTATCAGTCACTGCTCCTCACCACCTTACATTATAACACACCCACCCGATCTCAAGTATTCCCCCCCCGTCGTCACTCACTCATGCATACAGAGTAATATTATCGTAGCTACAGGGATCCATCTCTCCGGGAGCCAGTCTCGTTTTCGCTAGTTCTTGCTCATAGCTCTCTCTACCTCCCTATCTCTCTCTCTCTCTCTCTCTCTCTCTCTCTCTCTCTCTCTCTCCGACCAGAGCCCTGTAGAAACCCCTATAACACACCAATACTCGCCCAATCTTTGTTGCTTCTTTTTTACATTCTCGACTGACTTGGCAGGCAGAAGCTTTGGGCGTTCACCCTAAAGTGTGACCTAACACTCCTGCCATTGAGCGTCATCCGTTTTTGCGTGGATCCTCCCACACAGCTCTACTACAGCTTATCCCCTGACGCATCTCGCAGCTAGTTTTGAGCTCCTTTATGACAGGGCTAGCTAGCTGGCTGGGCGTTTGATGTACAGAGGTGTACACTAGACGTCAGGGTACTCTAGGGTACTACCTGCCGAGTTGTGACACTGGCTTTTAAGGTTTCTGAAGTTAAATAGCGCACTTTCTAGGAGCTTAGCGCGTAATTTGTTAGGTTTCGCAGCCGTTCTGATGGCGTTTCATCGAATATTTATGATTCCTACAGCAATTGGAGATCGCAATTTTGGCATATTTTGTAATGTTACTGCCAATAATTCATCTAATTACCTTAATTACCATTACAACAATATTATCAAAGAATTTCGGGTTTTATAGATTTACGTATTAAAAGAAGCTGCAGACATACCTTTTAAAAGTTTTTTACGTTATCAACTCTGCTTGTAACTGCTTCATTAACGAATTGTTTTCCGAGCTTTGCTGCCAATTTTTGGCCCTACGAAAGCTTTAACCCTTTTTCGACGTTTCTGACATTTTTCAGTTTTTTACTAGAAAATTGTAGCATTTTGCCCATATTCCATTAACCACATTAAATTTTCATCTATCTTAGGCCTTGAAATGTGTTGCTCAAATTTAGGCACTTCATCAGACATCCCCTTCGTTGCGCTCACCCACCGGTGCAAGTGCAATTTCCCATGCAACCGGATTTTTTCCGGCGGTGATATCAGCGGAACTTCCCGGATCTTCTGATCCTCCCCGTCCGAGCAACACCATTTTATGTTCTAATTGCTTGACGGAAATCGCGCGGATAGACATTGTCTACATAGGGACGCTGGAACCCGCGCCATTTCCTTGTTTACCGGTGCTCTGCTGCGCAATCTCGGGGCGCGATCTTGATCCGCCGTGTCGATATTCAAATTTAATGCATCTACCTTCTTGGCTGGTGCAAACGGTAAACAAATTAGAGGCCTAATTTGGGAGCTTTGGGATTCTTATTCTTAACGGAGCACGAGCCTGATCCATAACTTCATTTTGTTTGAGCCAAGCAAGAGCTTCAGAGTCGGCTTGTTTTTTGGAGTTCGAGCATGAGCGCTCTGTCCTTATTTCAAGTTTAGCGAATTTTGTTAAAGCTCGAAGTTAAGGCTCCTTTTTAGCTTTGAATCGAGTATGGGCTTTTTTTCTGCCGTCGCGCCCCTCTCGGCTTGGGCTTCGCTTTTACCTCGAGCTGGAGTTCTATTCTCTTGCTCAAATTGTCGCAGCGCCCTTCGGCTCATTTCTGGATTTCATTCAGCTTGAGCATGAGATTCAGTTATGCTTAGGCTAATGCTCTAGCTTTTATAGCATAGGCTTATGGCCTTAACCTGAACATCAACACTTAAGCTATGGCTGCCGTTCTTAAGTTTAAGTTTCGGTTTGATCTCCATCTTTTCGAGCCCGAAATAGCTTCGAGTTTTTCAAAGCCTTAGCATATTTCTACTATCGCTTCTGGCACGACTCCAAGAGCCTAAACCAATCAAACCGCTCCCCTAAAAAGGTCAAACGCATTTTTTGCCCCAATTTCCGGTCGTTGCGAGGGTGTCACCCCCCGCCTATCCATCGTTTAGCCTCTGCAGCCTACTGGCAACTAGTGACCCGAATCGCTCTCCCCCACTAGCTCGTTCTCCCCCTTAGCGTTTAGAAAGCCCGGCTGAGGAGAAGGATCGATGGATGTGGCTAGGATTGGATGGATGGTATAGGGGGGCTTGACCGTTTGAGGGGGCTAAAGCGGAGAAAGTCACACAGCTCTTTTTCTCTGGACTGAGGTGTCCGAAACACACGTCATGGCGTTTCCTGATGTTGAAAAGTCATAAAACTTCTTATTTGAACGTTATTTTCCCAGAATTTTTGAAGCTGGCAGGCCAGCAGAGACAATTTAGCGATTATTCTTTGACCTATCGATGTCTCTATGATGCCCTTAAACCCATGCTCAGTCCCATTCTGGAATTGGTAAGCTAACAGAAACAATTTGAGTGACTGTTCCCGGCTTTCGTTGTGCATTATAATACTTCTGGTTTTTCCAGTCTTGTTTCATTTCGGCGCTTGCGGCAAAACCTAACCCATGTTTTCACGCTATAATTAGAAATTCATTGACCCTCCGACTCGGTAGTTTTTTTAAACTGAACTTTTGATTTTTTTTGCTACCACCCCTCCGAACTGACCCACGAAACGCAAGTCGGGAGCGCGACCACAAAAAACCGACGTGGGCGTCTCCTAGCTTGCCTAGCCCCTAGGCAAACCGTCATCACCCACTTTGCGCCAGTCCGCCTAACATCCAGGTTGGACTAGGAGGAGCAGAGAGTGGAAAAGCGGGGAAAACGGCGGGAGCTTTTCTACGGCATAGCTAAATGGAAACATCAAAGAGCTTAGCCCTTTTCCCAACCTAAAAATTATGGCTTTTTTAAGGTAGTCGGAGACTGATTTCTTCATAACATTTTTCCGTATCTTGCTCATTCTCTCGCTAACCCTCTCTCCCTCTTTGTCCGTTTGTCTGGGCATTTATTGCTCTTGGCAAATTTGGCATTATTTTCACTTTCTAACGCCTCTAATTCCCCAAATTTTGACACCCAGGCGAAAGCAGCGTTGCCCCCCATAAATCCGTCATCTAGGGTGCGACCCCATATTCGATCTATCTCCTCTCGTCCCCCCTCCGGGGCTTGTCAAAAGGGATCTCGGCCTTGCAGCCTACAATAGACCCCAGGAAGGGGAAGCGCTAGGCTACGAGACGCTCCTCCCGAGACGATAGGGTGTGATTTCGTTTTTCAATGGTCTAGGATTTCCGGAAGCTCATTAAAACTAAAACCCTTCAAAAGTCTCGCTTTCGCTCGCGCTCTCTATCTCCCGCCCTCTATCGCACTCTTTCTCCATGTTTTGGCTTTCGTTGGCTTTTTGTCGTTTCCAAACTTTCTCACGCTGTCTCGCTCTCTCGCTTTTTCTCTTGTTCTCTCCCCATCTCGTCGATCTCCATTCCCTCGCTCTCCCTCTCTGTTTCTCTAGGTGTGTCTCTCTCTCGCTCTCTCGCTTTCTCTCTCAGTCAGCAGGTTATTTTTGCTGGCACTATCCCTTTAAAACCACCAAATTTCCTAAGATTTATGCAGGCTTGGCATAGCCTAATTTCGTGGAAATAGGTGTCAATAGAAACTTTCGCAGACACTCCCAAAATTTCCATTTATGCTAATCAAGGAACCATCTAAATCCCCCGACTACAAGCCGCTCCCCTGGAACGATTCGGGGGAGTGTGATTTCATTTTTCGACAGTCCTCCTGCCCCTCTTGCTCCCCGCATCCAACAAGCCATGCCCCCCCCCAGGTCATCCGCCCTGACTCCTCCCCGAAATCCGGTTTTCCGAAATCCAGACCCCGGGTCTGTGCCTTGGGGGCATCGAGAGGACCACTGGATATACCCACTTTGTTCTCGTGCTTCTCTCTCTCTCTCTCTCTCTCTCTCTCTCTCTCTCTCGCTCTCTCCTCTCCCTCGATCCAATCATCAATATCGATTGTTTTTCGGGCGGATGAATTGGCTGGGCTGAATTTCTGGAGCCAACCTGAAGACTGGATCGATTTTCGGGGCTCCCGAATGATTAGCCAGTTTTGAGGGGCAGGGCTGCCTGGCTTTGGGATGCTCGGAGCATGGCAAATCTGAAGGAAAATAGGCTATAATTTTCGATGATTCATTTTAGAACTTTCTCATTTAACGCTCGGTTTAACGAAAAAATCCTACTGTAGTAACGCCACGGAATAGTTACCGTGGCTTTTGGAGCCCGAAAACTTCCATAAACTCACTTGCACCCCATAACCGCCCGTTTTTTGATTTGTTATTTTTGGCGTTTTACATGGTTTTAGATAATTTTTATAAAATTTAAATCGTAAACAAAAACTGAAACCGGTTTTTATGTAGGCACCTTCGTCTGGAAAACTTGGCTTTTCAGAAATATTTCAATAATTGTTGCGTTTTTTAATTGTTTTCGTTTTAGTTGGGTTTATTTATGAATATACATGTTTTCCTACACACTCTATCAACCAGACATTTTCAGAAATGAGGTTACAATTGATACTGGGCCTATTTTTGGTCGTACACCTCGCCAACGGTCAGGCCGCCCCAAATACCGTAAGTTTATTTTTTTTATACGAACTTATTGATTTTTTCGCTTTTACAAGGTATTAACAACGTATTAAAAGACACCTCCAAAATTCTAGTTTTTATTTTAAGGATACCCCACCCGCCGCCAGCCCAGAGGACGAGCAGCCAGATGACACTGAAGACGCTCCTTTTGAGTTCACTGAAGAGGCTGCTTTCCACGATATGGTGCGCCGTATTTTTATGGATCGTTTATATTGTCTGTGTTTTAGAAAACCCCGCCGCAGGTGCCGGAAGATAAGAAGAAGGTAAAAAACTAGCGCAATTTCTTAAATTCCATATTTTCAGCCCGAAAAGGACAGCCACGAGCCCACCGGCGCCCCGCCGATGCACGAGGTTTTTAATGTTTAAAAATACACAGAATATTTTTTATTGTATCGAAATTATTTTTAGTCGTAGTTATTGCATTTGGATAAGAAAAATTATTTAAAATGAATTCCTAGGCGGAAAAGAATCGCTTTAAAATACGGAAAAGGTATCGACTATGCCAAAAATGTTAATTTAGATAAAACTACAAAAATTCATTTAACTAGAGCAGCGCACGTTTTTTTTATTTTTGGTTATTCAAAGAACTTTACATCACAAAAAAAAGTCTAAAAACCACTCAAATGAATTATAACATTTATTATTTAAAAAAACAGCACCCGCCATTAGTGTTTTTGTGAAAGTAGGACACCTCAAAAATCCGAAAAATCCAACAATCACGGAAAAACACAAAAATATGTCACCTAGACTGGTATTGTTTAGCACTCACACCACATGCACGACGGCGAGATCAGCAGCAAGGCTATGGACGAGCCTGCACCAGTTCCGGAACCGGCACCCACATCGAAGTCGACGGAAACCCAGGCTTCTGGAGCTTCTGAAGCCTCGGAGTCTACTGAAGCCGACAAGCCAGCTTCCTCCAACACCAGTGACAACGGGAAATCGGAAGAAGAAGAGGAAGTCGATTACGAGGTGCCTCCGGAGAAGCAGGTCCACCATGAGCACCACCACGAGCACGAGAAACACCAACACGAACAAGGTCATCAACACGAGCAAGTTCAAGAGACGATGATGACCGGGGATTCTGGCTTGATGCCAAATTCGGCTGGACCCAGCGATTCCGGATTAATGCCAAATACCGGAGGACCTATGGATTCTGGGCTTATGCCAAATTCTGGGGGCCCAACTTCCGATGTAAATTCTGGAGACACTGGAATGTCAAAATCTGCACCTCCACCTCCCCCTCCACCACAACCCGAGCCCGAACCGGCACCCACCCACACACATTTGGTGAGTTGAAATATGCAAATTTTGGCACCGGATTAAGAGAAAGTCACGAAATTTGAGATTTTAGTTTAATTTTTTGTGTTGCCTACAGAATTTTGAGTCGGAAAAATGAGTTTGGTTTTTAAGGCACGTAGATGACTTCGAACCATTTTCACTTGTTTTATTTAAATTTGCATTCGAGGGGAAATAAGTTCGTTAACCCCAGGATTGCACTAGAAGCTTCTCGAAAACAAAAAAAAATCGCAAAGCGGTTTGAAGTATTTTTAATATATCATATTTAGCATATTTTTAACCTTATTATTCCTTTTTAACAATTTTATTGAATTTGGTGCTCAAATTCTAATTTTATTAAGTTTGTTGTGTGTGTGCGAAAACCCAGTAATTTAGACAAAATTCTGGGAAACCTGGAAAAACTTGGAAAAAGGTACTCAGTTCTACTGTATTTTTATCCTTTTTCTTCATTAAAAAATTTATTAAAGTTACATTATGGCGTACAAACAGGAATTTTAAACTTAAAAGTTAATTATACATAATTTCAGACCAAGGAACCGGTGCCCCTTCCCGAGCCGGCCATCAAGTTCGACAACATCAAGGACGAGGACTACGGAGATAACGTTTTGGACAATGTAAGCTAAAGCTTCTCTCTCTCTTTCGCTCTCTCCCCCTATCTCTTTCTTTCTCGCGCTCAATCTCTATCTCTCCCTCTAAAAAATCTTCTTCAGACCAAGCCCGCCGACATTGACAACGAGGCCATCGCGCAGCTCGTCACTCAATTCTTGGAGGGACCTGATAAGGTAAAATTTGCATTTTAAAGGGACGTTGAAGGCAAAATCAGAGTAACCGTCTTCATAACGTAATTTTGTTTTTTTAAGAACAAGCCCGGCCCCAAGTTCGCCAATGAGGCCGCCCAGAAGTTGGTCAACTCCAGCCCCTACTGGCTGGACAAGGGCATCAAGCCGGCCGGATCGGTCAAGGACCCCGAGGAGGCCAAGATGTGGCTCGATGGGTATTATCTGGAGGCGCAGAAGGTTTTGTACCAGGTGAGCATCAGCATTATGAACTTTTAAAGGGACAGGAACACCTTAAAAACCGAAAAATTTCAACGGAAATTAAGGAATACTTGTTGAAACCCCCCGTTTTTCAAGGTCACCACCGCCGGGTGGCACTACTTCACCTCGATCTCGGGAGACTCGAGGAAGGCACTAGCTGAGGCTCAGGTATGTAAAAATCGCTCGCTGTCTCTCGCTCTGTCTCTCTAACAATCAAAATTTTCAGGACGTCATGTCCCGTTTCGTCCGCTCCACCTCCATGCAGGCCAAGCAGTTCGACAGCTCGGTGATGCCGGAAGAGGTTTGTCAATTTGAAGTCGCAAATGAGCATCTACTTAAGATGCAACGCCAGCTGAACTACGTCTCCTTCGAGGGAATGAGCGCGTTGAGCGAGAAGGATCATCAGGCGTACACTTCAGCCCAAGATCACGTAAGTCATAGAAGAGCATGATAAGCCTAAGCCTAAACCTAAGCCTAAGCCTCAGCCTAAGCCAAAGCCCTGCGTAAGCTTGAGCTCAAGCAAGCCTAAATCTAAGCCTGAATCTAAGCTTACGCCTACCCCTAAGCCAAGCTTAAGCCGAAGCAAGAGCCTAAGCCTAAGCCAAGCCGAAGACTAAGCTTCAACCCCAGCCTAATCCTAATCTAAAGCCTAAGCAAAAGCCTATTGATCTGTTTTCAGGTCAACCAGCAAGTCTCCGAGACGGTCACTTGCGAGAAGGACATCAAGCCTTGCGGACTCAAGTGGGTTTTTGAAGCTGTAAATTTAGAGCTCGGAACTACCGTAGTTCCAAAATGTCCACTTAAACCCCCTCAAACTCATTCATCTACAGGAAGAGCGACATCTCCTCCATGTTCACCGCCGACAAGGACGCCGAGCACCTCAAGTACCTGTGGACGGCGTGGATCAAGAACGTCGCCAGGCTGAAGCCCCAGTACAAGAAGCTGCTGGATTTGAGCAACACTGGTGAGTGCTGTTTTCAAGCGATATTCCAACGAGACCAAGCAGTTCAAGCCAGTTTCAACCCAAATTTTTAGCCGCCAAGCTCAACGGGTTCGCCGACGGTGGCGCGATGTGGCGCAGCGCTTTCGACCTCTCGAACAAGAACACCCCACCCAAGTTTGACCTGAAGGTGAAGGCCCAGGAGATTTACGACAAGGTCAAGCCGTTCTACCAGCAGGTAGGTTTTCATGCTTTTTGTTGCATAGCGGGCGCGTCGCGGTTATTCGCCAGATAATAACATTGCGTGTACGGTTTCGTAACTATGAACTCCTTCAGCTCCACGCCTACATGCGTCGCCAAATCGCTGGCATCTACAAGAACCCCGCCGGGCTCACCAAGGACAGACCGATTCCTGCGCATCTTTTCGGAAGCACTGGTGGGTTGGAGAGGGAGATAGCGAGAGAGAGAGAGCGAGAGAGAGAGAGAGAGAAAGCGAGAGAGAGATAAAGAGCACAGATCATACTGGAATCTTTCAGAAGGAGGCGAGTGGGCCAACCACTACGACCAGACGAAGCCCAACTTCGAGGACGACCCCGTTTCATCGGAGATTCTCGAGGCCATGCAGGCACAGAACTACACTTCTAAGACCATGTTCATCAAGGTAAGTATAGATTCTACAATACGGTTTCTTACATACATCGGATTTTACGTAAAAGAGTCGTAGACACTTAGAAGTCACTACACAAGCACTTGAGCTCGCCTAAAATTGCGAAGATTGCATTCATTTACGATTCTGAAGCGTTTTAACCCCAGTATAATTTTCAGGCCTACCGCTACATGAAATCTGTTGGGTTCCCGTCACTCCCGAAGACATTCTGGACAAGCTCCGTGTTCCAACGTGTCTGGTCAAAGGATATGCTCTGCGACCCGGCCGCCGCTTTCGATATGCGTGACGGAAAGGACTTCAGGTAATGAGATGATCTCTCTCCGCTTTCTCGGTTTCTCGCTCTCTCCCTCGCTCTCTCATCATATTGTTTCAGAGTGAAGGCCTGCGCCCAGATCGGCGAGCCCGACTTCAAGCTGGCCCATTCTCTGTTGGCTCAGGTCTACTACCAATACCTCTACAGGACCCAAGCAGGAGCTTTCAGGTATATTTTTAAGGCTTAAAAACTACTATCTAAAATCGATAATCAGATAATCAACAATGAATTTTTAGGGAATCCGCCAGTCCTTCCATCAACGAGGCCATTGCCGCTGTTTTCGCGCATCTGGCCTCGAACCCGAACTATTTGTATTCTCAGGTAACAATTCTTTTTTTAATACTGTAGCTACAACCTTTATTACTTTTATTATCTTTATTATTTTAATTATCTTAATATAAACCTTTTCAGCAACTCCTCAGCCACGAGCACCTCGAGATCAAGGAGTCCACAATTGTCAATAGGCTGTACAAGTGAGTAGCTTTTCGATACGGCTATTTGATTACAGAATTACATGGTTGCAATTCTAGGCTATCAAAATACACTGCGTTAGATAGAAAATTCAGGTATCTTTTTCTAGGGAAGCCCTTGATAACATCGCCAAAATTCCGTTTGCCGTCACCGCCGACACGTGGCGATATGACATTCTGGAGGGCAAGACCGACGATGACAAGTGGAATGAGGAGTGGTGGAAGTTGAGGTAGGCTATCTTTCTCTCTCTCGCACTCTCGCTCTCTGTCCCTCGCTCTCTCTCTCACTCTCCCTCTTTTTCTCTCGCTCTCTCTCTCTTTCTCTGGCTCGCTCTATCGTCTCATTTTCAGAGAAACCCTCGAGGGAGTGAAGGCCCCGGAGGAGAAGATCATGCCCGCCCAGACCGACGCCTTCATGCATACCCAGATCAACCAGGTATGGAGGGTACCTTAAGGCTGATGTACACTTCGCTAAAAATACAACTAAACCTAGTAAAATAAGCTATGAAAACTTCGCTTTAGGTCCACTCCCCCGCCATCCGAAATCTGATTTCCTACGTTGCGCAGTTCCAGATTCTGAAGTCGCTGTGCCCTCCGGATACGGAATTGGTAAGGGTATGGCGGAATTTGATGGTGTTGAAATAGCCTAATTTGTTGGTGGAACTGTTTTTATGGAAATTCACGAAATCGTCGCGTGGCGCTAGTAGATACAACTACAAAACGTGCATAGCGTAACGCTCCTACTAGCGTAACACCGTCACAAGCTCTTGGATTTTTGCAATTCGTTGAGACATGTCAAATCTTCCTTATTCCGATGTCACTATCCCTCTAAACCCTCTACCTCTTCAGGCCGAGGGCTGCATCCTCTCCGAAGACACGACCTTCAAACTCCGCGAGACCATGGCCAAGGGCTCATCCATTGACTGGCTGATGGCCCTGGAGATGTTGACCGGAAAGGGTTTGTTGTAACGCCGTTGAGTGTATGCCCTTGGAATTTCAGCCGAGCTTGATGCTCAGCCCCTGCTCGACTACTTCAAGCCGTTGATCACCTGGCTGGAGAACGCGAACGAGATCAACCAGGTCTACGTTGGATGGGATGGCGAGGGAACGAGGTTCCAGGCGTAAGTGTTTTTGAAGAGAGCGCGAGAGAGAGAGAGAGAGAGAGAGAGAGCAAAGATTGTAAGAGGAAGAGAGAGAGGAGAGAGAGAGAGGGAGAGAAAGAGAGAAACTTAATCGTACCTTTGAACATTCTTTTTAGTGACGAAATCCCGGAAATCCAATCTGACGGCAAGGTCTCATCTGGAATTTTGAGCGAGGACAAAGTGGCCTTCCCTGGTGAGTTCAAAAATTCAATTTTAAAGTTTCCGATTTCAGGAGGTGCATGTACCAATGGCGAGGACTGTCTTCTTGATTCACATTGCGATGGAAAGGTCGGATTTTTAAAATTATCAAAAATTTTCGTAATTATCCGAACGTTGTTTCTATCTTTTTTTAAGGCGAGTCAGCATCAATAACGTTTATTAGGTTTGCGTCTGCAACGAAGGTCTCTTCACTCTCAAATTCGACAACACCGTCTCGTGCGTCGCGTCCAACCCAATGACGAGTGGATTTATTGGAGGCGATGGAGATGTGAGTCATCGTAGACACATTTTTTTAGTTTATTTTTTATCATCTTCCTAAATCGAGTATTCAAGAAGAAGTAAAAACTGAGGATAACAAATGGCATCTGTAATTCAACAATTAAGTTCATCGGTGTCAACCTCGTTCCATCCGAAACCACGACGACCGAGGCCCCGAAGGTGACGACCAGGGTCACCACTTCCCGGCCGATTACGGTGGGTTTTTGGGGAACATTCAGAGAGGGCAGGCTAGCAGAGATCCCTTGAAAAATTCGAGAACTGGATTTTTTACGTCTTGGATGAAATAAGCGTCTTCTTTCGAAGGGGCAAGCTTGCAGGGAGGGTTAGGGAATATTGTATGTTGCACCATTTGTCTAGTTTTCATTAAATTTTTCTGTCCAACGTTATGTGAGGCAGGCAAGCAGAGAACATTGAGGAATACGCAGATCATTAGTTTTGATTAGACAGGCGTAGCAACTTAAAATCATTTTAAATTGTGTAGGCAGGCTAGCAAAGTCCGTTGTAGAAAAGGCTGTCATTAGCGCGTAAAATCAAGTTTTTGGCATTCTGAATAAAGGCAGGCTAGCAGTGCTGATTGCGGTACGCTTTCCCGATTTTTCGTTACGCTTGAATAATATTAGAAAAATTTTATCTTATCATTTTTTCAGCGCTCCGCCACCACCGCGTTCGGCTTCGGTTTCTTGATCGCGCTGCTCTGCGCTCTGTTTTAAATTTTAAAATATTTTTCTATGCTAATTTAATGCCCTTTTTGCTCCAGCCAAAACCTCGTGTCCTGATTGCCACTATATTGCCTTTTCCTCGCCTTGCATTAAATTGCCTTTCCCCACCCGATTGAACGTGTGCTCATTCCGCGTGTAATTTCTGCGTGCTTTCCGCCGGAAGGATATTATCGATTGAATGTTGTGATATTCTACAGTATCCTTTTTACTGCATTTTTAATGTTATTTTGAAGTGCCTCACATATCAAATTATTTTATTGATTTTTGATTGTCCATCTGGGCGAATAATAATTAAACCAACGGTCGTCAAGAAGACAGAGATAAATATTTGACAAATTGCATTTATCATTTTACTATTTACATTGGGGAAGATTATTTTAATGAAGTTAGTTTTATTCTACGTAAAAATTATAAAAATATACTAAGGGGAGGAACCTAGGAAAAATCACTAAAAACCCGCTGCTCGACTGTTTTTTTCAGATCCTAAACTGAGGCTTGGGCATTTGAAAGGTTATGATTAAAAAAATGGCTTTTTGATAATTATTGTAACAGCTTAAAAAAGTACTTTTGAGGGTTACTGTAATATCCTGGTAGGACACTTTCCAGGCTTACTGCAATATTCTAAAAGGGTACTGACTGTATGGCAATTTTCGGTAAAGTTGAGCCACCATTTTTTAGAGAAATTTGACTAGAAGAGGACAGCCTAGCTTTGGATCCTATTTTAAAACTGAATCCGAAGGTTACGGTAAGAATTCCAGAAAAACGAAAAGCTCTGACACTGGGCGGAATTGAACTGTGAACCCAAAAAAATATTATCGAAAGAAATGGGAGACTAGAATTACTAAAACTAGATCACTAAACGTGGATTTTGGTTTAGGGACTGTGTCGGAAGTAATAGTTAATGAAATTTTTAGTTTTGCTTTTCAAAACTGGGAAAATTCAAACCTGGTTTTGGCTTGTACCTTAAAAATCAAGGTGGGAAGGTTTCTGAAGCCTGGGTTGCGCAAAACTACCGGGAAAAGTACAAACTACGGCTCACAAAGTGCCAAGCTTCTGGGGGTTTCGTAAGGAGGCATAATTTTACATTAAGAGCTCAGAAGACAGTCTCGACAGGATCGACTCGGTACGATTCTGAATAATAACCCAAGCGTCGTCGGCCATTTCTTCTACCGTAGTGTAGCGGACGCGTTTTGGATTGAACAGGTCGAGCACGAGCTGGGTTACCTAAAACATTCAGCTTAACTTGATTGGATGGCTAGTCAAAATACTTATATTCTTTTCAACTTTCGTTCTAGACACATCAAATGCTATTCCTTACCTGCTCCTTAAAGTAGTAGCAAAGCTCCCCAATTTGAGCATCAGTTCCGAGAAATCCGAGGGTGATAGATGGAGACACAGCCTCGGAGATGTTGTAGAAATGTGCGATGAAGCCGTTGGGGTACTGTAATTATAATTTAAGGTGTTAAATATAGATAAGTTTTTTGTTTTTGGATTTTTTTTCGCTTGGCTTTATGGCTTGCTTGTCCCCCCCCACGAATTTCCTTTTTGCCTCTTTTCAAAAAAAAAAACTTACACAGACGCCTAACTCTAAGCCAAGCCCAAGCCAATCCTAAGACAGCCTAAGCGAAGCCTAAGGCTTAGCGTAATTCTAAACTGACTGAAGTCGTACCTAGAAAACCGTAACTACAAAGGTTACCTGTAACCTCTGCCGCTTCGCCTTCAGCATACTCCAAATTACAGTCGATATCGTTGAGTACTTCATACTCTGCGACAGCCAAAAGTTCTTTGTCACCGAGTATATAGCCGAGGGTGGGGACTTCAGATCCCCGAAAGCGTCCAGCAAAATAAAGTCGAGGATGACGTCCCAGAAGCCGAGCTCGGGCACCTGGAAGTGATAGAGGTAAGCTTTAGCGATGACGCAACGTTACGCGTCAAGGTTTCTGAGGGTCGTGGAAAGTTTAACATATCTAATGCTCAACTTACCCCTCTCATCCTCAATTCGTCCTCAGCCATCTCCCGATTGATCTCATCTTCAAAGAAGTTCATCATGTCGTCGTAGGCCTTGAAGAAGGTCGTTGGGTCTTGTTGGCAGTTCTGCATCAAGTTTCCGAGCAGAGTACGTCCAGAATTCTGGAGCCAAACGCGGCGATGTTCATCGGCGCAGACGATCTGAAAAAGGGAAAAATGCAAAACAGCAGGAGCAAAATGAACCTTCGTGACGCTTCTAAAATCCGCTCTAAGAAAGTTGACAAGATTAAGCTTTTTTACACAAAAAAGCCACGATTTAAACTGAGCAAAACTTACATTTAGAGCCTTTCTTATGCAGAACAACTTCGCCAAGAACTCCTCTTCATTGGCGCACTGGCAGATATCGCTTCGGTCTCGACGACAGGCCACCTAAAACGACATTTTTAAGGGAATTCTGCACATTTGTTACAACTATGTTGCTACAATTTCAAAAGATCCCACCTGTCCATTCCTGGCCGCTTCATAGCCCTGCTGCAAAAACAGGAGCTCATCACTAGCAATCTCATAGTTCGGAGCGGAGGGGTCTTCGTCAAGCGAGACGGCAAAGTCCTCAACGGCCGACATGAAGGACTCGTCGGAGAGGACGGACAGGGTTTTCGTCCTCATCGACGGGGCCAGCTGGAAGCCGCTGCCGAGCGAGACGCCTGAAACTCGAGCGATTACACCACAGCCTTCAATTTTCCCGCAAAAATGTCAGCAGGCCATCATGGTTCATTAATGATAATGCCGAATCCGGGCCAAAGTCTGATACCCGGGTGCGCAGCTATTTTTCCAAGCTTGGTTTTGGCAATAATGCATTCTTCTTTCGATATTTCCTACGTCTATGTGAAATCTGAGAGCGAGCACGAATTTCAGAGGCAGAGAAAGCTGGAATGCTAATGAGCAACAGCTTACCGTCCTCCGCCTTCAGGTGATCGAACCCTCCTTCTTGGATCACCCGATTCAAATCGGCTTCGACGAATCGAAGTCGATCGAGGACTGCGGCAAGACTTTCGGCGCGTTGCCGATCTCTATCGGATCGATTCTTGATCATCTCTAGCCCATTCATGGCCTTCTGCAGGGAGGAGATGGTTTCGCGACAGTTGTCGAGGCCTGAAAATTTTTTAGGGTACAGCGCTTGAAGTATATAACGTAAATAATAGGTTTTTAGGCATCATATGGATAAAACGCTTTAATGCGATTTTTAAATATTTGAAAGCCTTACCTCCAAAGAGTACCGCCTCACTCGGTGGTACGCTACCGCTGATGCTAGGGCCAAGTCGTCTCCTCATCGACTGACGGGATGGAGCAGTGCGATATGCTGAAAATACATTTAATGAATTTGGAGTTCTTAATTGATATACATAAATCATGGCATTTTTGATGACTCACTTCGATCCGAATCTGACAGATTCGAGAAGTCCGTGACTGATGGGACTTCCGGTGTTCGCAAAGACAGTTGACGACGTTGGGGCGGCTTTTTTGGCTTGGAGAAGAGCCTTAGAGGTTGGAATATGATTATTTACTATTTATTAAGCAACTAACGCGTTAATTAAATAACTTAATTCATGCTAATTTGCATCAGAATGCCGTTATTATAGTTTACTCTATGATTTCGTGCTATAGACGTGGAACTTATAGATTTGTAACTTTAGCGAGTCTATTGCAATTAATTAAACGATATAAACGTTATCATAACGTTGTTGCTCACCTCTTTATCCACCAGCTCAACAAAATCACGCTGATCCCGACGCCAACCGCAACGAGAGTTTTTGTCTGTGTCGGCATTTTCCATATTCGGCCTCCGCCGACCCCGGCCAAGGGTGCCGACATTTTACCGTTGGTAAACTACCTGAATATGAATTTTTAATAGCTTTTACGAATGATTTCAAAAACTTTAATGAAATTTTCAGAACATGGGATTTCCTTGTGCGGGGAAACCCCGCATTCCAGAGTCAATTAGAGGACGGGGGGCACCTATCGACACTTCATTGAGGGCGCCATTTCCTTGGATCATTGTAAGGAATTGGCAAGTAAACTAGCTGTCGATCAAAGTGGCTCTCATTGCCGTCAGTTTTTTTCACCTTTTCACATTGCGCTTAGACGTTTCAACGTTATTTTCGGTGTAGCAAAAAAATACAAACTAAGCATTTTCACACTTCATAGGTTCGCTTCTCCTTCCCATTCCGGCCAAGCAATTACGCCATTTTAATAAATCGTTGTTAAAACTAACCAAAAATCTTTAAAATTTGTCCACAGTGCAATCGGCCACACAGTATTGCATCTCGTTCTCCGAATTTGCTCTTGCTCTTTAAAGCCCAAGATTTTTTTTAAGTTCACGTGACCTATAGTGATTTACAGATCCCGACTAAAAGCGAATTCCAGCCGAGACCTCAGACGTCGAGGTAATGTATCAAAACCGGTCTTCCTGCCAGTTATCGTCATCCTCCTTGCGCTCTTCTCGCGATGTCGAAGCGATTCATTAAATGTAAGTTTCTTGACATTTCCAACAGTATCGCTAAACTTAAATTGACATTTATCGACGTTGTAGGGTGATCGGGGCCTCGCAGCGCTCAAAATTCGCTATAATTCGTTATTTTATGTCCCGTTTTTAGGCCACGAACAATAATAAATCTTCGAAGGCTGAATTCCAAAAATCTGGCAAGGTGAATGGAACGGAAGACATTGCTGCCATCCGCCGTAAGTGTAAATTTACGCCTGTTTCTCTTTGATTTTTAATGTAGTAGTGGTTAGTCTGATGAATTTTTGCACTTTTTATATACAACTTCGACCCTGAAATGCTTGCCTAAATAGGAAGCCTGAATGCTATTGAGGCATAATGGGTGTGGTAGATTACAGCTTCTTTCGCGAGTTCCTGATAATGGCTTATCACATTTTCCTTTCCCATTAAAGGTGCATCGTCATATCGCCTTTAACTGCTTGCCCAAGTGACCTAAAAAAAGAGCATGACTTTTAAAAATACGAGCTATGCTTAAAAATAACCTTAAAATTCAGGCGTCGACGTCCCAGTGAAGGACCACACCGTCGAGGCGATACTTGCTACACTGGCGATATTGATTCTGGGCGTTGGTGCCTGTTACTGTATCCATCTGTATCGCCGTGAGAACGAGCGTACGCAAAGACGCCAACTTGAACCAGAACACGCAAAGCATGTGCAACTCAAAACGTATACGAAGGTGGCGCCCAAGTGATGCCGAATTGTTTTTACTGTTTTTTCCATTCCACTTGCTCCGCAAATATTGCTCAACCTACATGTGATGTTCAAAAACTGTTATACCTCAAACTCGCTGCCTTATCCAGGGTGCTATTCCTTTCTGTGGTAATGATACTTCGCCTGCGATTGCCATAATAAAATTAATTTCAATCAGCTGACGCTAAGCGCACAATAACGAGCCGAATGAATGAAAATCTTGATAGCAACTGAAATAGTTGTTCATACTCAGTTGTCCAGAATTAGCTAATCAAAAAAGGCCTATTTTTCGCAAGCTTTCCTGCGTGAATTCTGTTATCTAATTGAATCGCGGGGTGGTGTGTTTTGGAACGCGCACGTCCATCCTAATCTTTTTTTCCGTCGGTTAAGAGAAATTCAGCTTTTCTTTAAGTCTTTTTCGCGTGGCTTTAAAAAATTGCTTATAGGAATGTACTTCTAGATATAATCGCTTGCAACCATACTACGATGCTGTCGCCTCGAAAACGATTATTTTGTATTTTCCTTTTTCTCGTCTCTTTCGTGTTCGCCTACACCTCTCAGGGCGTAAGTGGTAATAACCAGAAAGTAGCCATGATATCATGTTTTTGGTAATTTCTAGATGGATTTGCAAATCAAACTGCAAAACTAGATCAGAAATTTTTAAGGCTTTATTCAACAGGTAACCGAAATACCTCTTACATTGCAGTTTGGTTCGGCAACTCCCGGTTGGCATAGCGAAGCCCGATCAAGTTTAAGGGCCCTTCGACTACGAGATGACGGAGTAATTTTTACCACGGAGAAATTTTTAAGGCTTCGTTCAGCAGGTAACCGAAATACCCTTTACATTGCAGTTAGGTTCGGCAACGCCCGGTTGGCATAGCGAAGCCCGATCAAGTTCAAGGGCCCGCCGTCTACCCAAATGACGGAGTAATTTGGAAACACTTCGTAGAACAATCTGGTTAGTGAACTATCGATTATTACTTGACCTTTTCATGCAATATCCAAATTAAATGAGAAGCCTTTTATAAGTAGTTTGACCTTAAGGGTCATGGATAAATTAGGGATTTTCAGAAACATGGCATAAAATGTACGACGTCAAGATACCGCCTTGGGTTATTATGGCGTTGTATGCAGGTGCGCCGGTGCTCCTGGGGATAATTCTGATCTGCTGCATAGCAACCTCAAACTGCAACCCAATCCGGAGGAGCAGCCCGGAACCCTGTCATACCAGCCAGTTCCGCGCGGACCAGTACCGGCTGATTGAGGAGAGTCAATCGCGCAGCTCCACGCTTGATCGGAGGTAGTTGTATTGTCATAATTCCAGTCGTTTGCCATTTATATGTATAAATGTATGTCTCCACAGAAAAAAATTGTCGAATACAATGCAAACTTGCAAAAATACAGAATAATGGAATTTGGGAGAAGTCTTACAAACCGCCACAATGGTGACTGAGAAAAATCATCTTTTTTTTGAGTTCTTCCTTGAAGAATCGATTTTTATTACGGCCTGACATCAGCCGATTTTTTTCTCTACCGTTCTCTTTTGCAAGGCATTCCGGGAAAAGTAGAATCACAGCCACCCCCGCCCCAATTCAGGTAAAGATAACAGGCTGCCCCCGGCGCAAAAGATAAATGCCTATCAATCTCCTGCTATTGAAAGCATAATTCGTACGTCAGCTAGCTATGTCACCCAAAACGCGTATTTTTTTTATTGCGCTGTTTGTTGCTCTCGTCTACGGGTACACCCTTCGCTCAAGACAGGTCTGTTTTTGTGAGTTTTAATAACTATTTTTTTGCCTTGAACAGTGTAAGATTATCTCACAAGACGGTAGGACTGCCGTGACCTAGAAAAATTCTAGTGGACTGTTTTCTGGGGGCGCCCTATGCGGTCCAAAACATTTTTGAAATTCGAAGGTTTCGAATTTTGGTTTAGCTAATGATTTGGTTGTCTAAACTTCTTCTTCGCGGGATTTTTCCATGTTTTATACTTATTTCTTCCAGTCCACCACCAAGACCCATTTGTTGAATTATGACGTCGAAGAAGACGCAACCTTTGCCAAGGATCAAGGTGGGGGCTTTACTTCCCAGAAAATTCCTCTTCTTCCCTGGTAAACCCTTCCTCAAGTTGTTTACATGTTGGGTGATGGTGCCTGCAATCTTCTAGGCACTGCCGGAAATGAAAAAAACCTGGAAAAAATCAAAACAAATTTTACTGGCCCCCACCCCAAAATCCTTATCGCGATCACGAAGACTTGGTGGCCCCACGGAAGCGGGTGCGGTGTTGCCTTGCTCAAGCTATTTTACGACTCAAAATTGATTGACTGCTGTTTTCAAGATAGAGAACTTACACAAAGCGACACCACCTAAACAATTTTATTTCAGATAGCGGTCCTCTATTGTCGGAGAACGCCAAGGATGCGTTATTACTACTTTGCGGATCCGTCGTCGTTTTGGCTCTTGTAGGCTGGATTTGGTACGCCAATCAACGTGCAAAAGAGGCCCGCGACAACGAATTACGGCGACGGGGCAGCAGCGGCGAAATCTTTATTGAGTGGGATGAATGTTGATAATTTTTGATCGTTGCTAGTCTTTTACCTTGATTGGGTCGATCCATATCACGTTCGGCTGGCGCTCATTTTTTTGAAAATCATATTTCCGAAAATCACGTATTAAAAAAATCATTGTCTCAAATATTTCTGAAAATCACTATTTCAAAAAATTGGCGTCGCGACTTCAAACCTTATGGGGTCGTTTCCTATTCATTCATCCTATTCATCCATCCATTTTTCGAAATTGTGATTTTCGGACAACTGATTGAGAATATGGCTTTCGGAAAAATGGCTTTTCAAAAAAATTATCTTTATCTTTGAAAAAGTTATTTTCCAAAACTTGATTTTTGAAAAAGTGTATGCAAGTCATCGCGTTTAATTCGGTGTTTGCAAATAAATCAAAACGTTAATCAGTCGATGGAGGGGTGAGAATTTCGCCCAAACATGCCGATAAAAGACTATTATCAGCATCGAGTAACTTGCCGGGACAATAAGCGGCTAACTTATAGAAATTAGTAAGTGTTAAATCGCATCAAATCACATCACAGAGCGCATGCAGTGATGCCACAGATGATACTTGTCAAAAATGCCGATAGGAAGGCGGCGATCCAGGATAAACATAATGAATTTGCATCTCAACCAGTACTCAACATGGTCAAAAAACAATCTTCTTTCTCACTCCCCTACCAATGCATGGCGGCGCTTTCGTGGCGGTGACGCTGCTGCTACTTTTTGGGCGGCTACAGTCGGCGGACCTTCCGCCTGTACGTTTTATACACGGGGGATCCCATGCAAATTTAAGTTAGAGTGCAGTTTACCCCCCCAGCGCTCAAACTTTTGTATCTCCGCTCCCTGTTTATCTACAGGTGTGTAAAGTACACCAAAATGTTCGTCTTGCTCTGGCGAGGATTTTCGTATACTTTACACACCTGTAGATCAACGGGAAGCCGAGATGGGGGGGGGGGTAAACTTTATACGTTTCTGTAAATTTGTCTAGCTGTAGGCGTAAACGGGTCATAAACGGGTCTTGACAAAAAAAGGCAGAATGATAATTCAGTGCCCGACTCCGAGGCGGTGGGCCTGCTACGCAAACGAGTGGCTGGAGCGCCAGGGCCTACCCCGCTATCCACTGCCTGAGGTTGGTGCATGCTAATACGAACTTTTTTGAGCAAAACCAATCTCGTCGTTTAGTGCAAGCCCTGCAAGGACCACGCGCGTACCTGTGGCCCAGACGCGCGCACGACGCGGTACATGTTCATGATGCTCGACTGCAATCCGACCGAAAAGTTTTGTGTGCGTTCTATTTTTTGGTTTTGTTTTTATTTCTAGAGTCCCACCTCGTTAAGTTGACAAAGTGGCTCGAGTGCAGTTCCCCCCCACCCACCTTGCCGACCACGACCTACCGTATCTCGGCTCCCTGTTCAGCTACAGGGGTGTAAAGTATACCAAAATACTCGCCAGAGCAAGACGAACATTTTGGACCTGTAGACCAACAGGTGGCCGAGATACAAAAGTTGGGGCCGGCTGGGTGGGGACGGTAAACTGAACGCTTACCATTTTCAGCCCGACGACAAGAGCGGGGCGCCGTGCATCCACCCCGTCGTGGTCAATTATAAAGGTCAAGATTTTTTGGTTTTTTGAAGCTTGTTTGGTTTTGTAGTTAAAGCATCGAGGTGCTATGACAAAATTACATATCTATTTCAGGAGCAAACATCTCGATCCTGTTCCCGCACAACCTGTGTACCCGCGAGCGCTTGGCCGCCGACAACTGCCCGAAAATGTGCGCGTTTTAATCGGCGCCTAATCGATTAGACAACTCGACTAATGGATGATTGTCCAGACTCCCGGACTACAACGCGAGAACCCCGATGTTGAGCACGGACTATGTGGCGCAGTGCGACACAGGCTACGCAGTGCCCGCGTAGGATTTGCTCATTGTAGAAGGCATTCAAATTAGGCTTTTGTGGTGGACGTTTAGTTGTGAGCCTCCCCAACTCATCGCTAAATCCTATTAAGCTGCCGACTATTTGAAAAGCTTTGCCTTGGCCGGAAACCTATAGAAAATATGTTTCCGCAAGACGAAAATCAGCCGAGACTCAAAAAAAACGAACTATTCTTTTATGACGTGATGTCGATTGGAAAGCGAAACAGAAAATCGTTTTCGGAATGAATCTATCATTTGTTTGATTCAGTGCGATCGCCGAGAAGAACCGCGGGGGCCAATGTATCGATAACCTGGGCGATGCGGCTGGTTTCGAGGAGTACGAGACGTCGCCGTTCCCCGATGAGATGCCAAGCTGGGACGTCATAGAGGTTAAGGTTGGTCGGAAATTCATAGGGCCGCTTAACAAAATGCTATTTTGAAAATTTGTGATGGGATGATGCCACGAATCGGAATCGTGATTTTCGGCGGCAATAACTGTTGTTAATGTGGTGGTTTTTAAATACTAGCGCTCGAGAGATCTCCGCCTAAATCTCCGGAAAGCCCCTAAAACGGCGACCAATCATGTCTTTATTTACTTTTTTAAATCTGCCATATATAAAACAGCTCGAAATAGAGACATAGGTATCAACAAAAATGTTGCAAAATTATAAATAATAGAAAGAATAAAAAGAGAAGGGGTGGTGGACATGGAATTAATGTCATTTTTCCTAAAAATCATTTTTCCTAAATTCATTTTTCCTAAATTCATTTTTCCTAAAAGTCATTATTCCTAAAAATCATTTTTCCTAAAGTTCATTTTTCCTAAAACCGGTTAAATATCGAAAAAGTCTCTGTTCTTTAGTATTATGCATCCAAAAGTCGAAATTTTTTATAATAGATTTAGATATGCCTAGAATGGTCATAGGAAGTATTTTAGTTGCGCGTTTAGCTATGATTTGGGTGATTTGATTTTCGATAAAAGCCTACTAATAACCAAACCAAACAAATACTGCTAAAAAATGTCAACATTTGGCCTTTCTTAATATTTTTACGCATCCCTATTGAATGAAAAATTTTAGGAAAAATGAACTTTAGGAAAAATGATTTTTAGGAAAAATGAATTTTAGGAAAAATGATTTTTAGGAGAAATGATTTTTAGGAAAAATGAATTTAGAAAAATGAATTTAGGAAAAATGATTTTTAGGAAAAATGATTTTTAGGAAAAATGAATTTAGGAAAAATGATTTTTAGGAAAAATGATTTTTAGGAAAAATGATTTTTAGGAAAAATGAATTTAGGAAAAATGAATTTAGGAAAAATGATTTTTAGGAAAAATGAACATAACCCGTCCGTAGGTATCAACAAAAAATATTGCAAAATTATAAATAATAGAAAGAATAAAAAGAGAAGGGGTGGTGGACATGCCCCCCCCCCCCGCAGAACCCTAATAACCTCCCCCGCTAACGGACCAGAACCGGGCTTTTGGTTTAGATATCATCCCGATTCGATCTTTCGTGATAGAAGCAGAGGGTCCGATCCTGCATCTGACAAATTTTCAGTTCTGTGACCTGCAAGAGGCGCCCGGCGAAAAGCGCATGTGCGTGGCGCCTCCTATGTGCGATCAGCGGCTTCGATCAGGCGTCCCGTCCAAAGACATCCTGCCGCATTGCCATCAGCCGTGCGTGTACAACGTCAGCCCGAACCAGTACCGCGACTGTCAGCCGCTCGACCTCCGAATCGGGGAGTCGCACCAAGCAAGGGTCATCGCCGGGTACCGGCAAAAGGTATGGCGCGATGGATGAGAAACGTGCGGTTTCCCCTCCCGCCCAGCCGATCCCCGCTTACCGTATCTCGGCTCCCTGTTCATCTATAGGTGTGCTAAGTATACAAAAATACTCGCCAAACTAAGGCGTACATTTTGGTATACTTTACACACCCGCAGGCCAGCAGGATGCCGAGATACAAAAGTTGGAGCGGTGGCGGTGAGCGGAGCGGTGGCTGGGGGGGGGGGCGGTAAACTGCACTCTAACCGAAGAATTAAGTGAACTTTTTGATATTTTCGTTGTTTTTGTTTCGCTATATTAAATTGTCGTAGTCGAGTCCCCACGCGACGCTCATGACCCGCGCCGAGAACCTGAAGCTCCTCCCCCGGTCGGCAGACGAGCGAGCCTATCCGAGATGTATCCGTGCCGAGAAGCTGACGGTCGGAACTTTGTTTAGTGGTTCTGGACTATTAGCGGGGGGTTGTTTCGCAGGATCCATACCGCTTTTTGTTTTTCCGCCCATGGCTCGCTGTAGGTGATATTTTCGGTATTTTTATAGTGTTTTTAGTAGTTTTGATTGCTAGGAAGTTATACAAAATTTTAAAAATGTTGAAAATTTGAAATTTTTGAATTTTTGGTCGGTTTCGCAAAAACCTCACGCGGCTAATTTCAGGTCACCCAACAAGCCATAATCCGAAACGACTTCTTTTTGAACTGCGAGACGAACCCCTACTACAAGCGCAACAACCAGGATCCGGAGCTGTACATCGAGCCGGTCGACTGCGGGCCCGACGAGTCGCCCAGCGAGGTCAGAGGGAGAGAGAGAGAGAGAGAGAGAGAGAGAGAGAGAGAGAGAGAGAGAGAGAGGGAGAGAGAGAGAGAGAGAGAGAGAGAGAGAGAGAGAGAGAGAGAGAGGGAGGAGAGAGAGAGAGAGAGAGAGAGAGAGAGAGAGAGAGAGGGGAGGGAGAGAGGAGAGAGAGAGAGAGAGAGAGAGAGAGAGAGAGAGCGAGAGCGAGATATAGTGGCGATGGGGGAAGAGAGTGAGAGAAATAGAGAGAGCCGATCTTTTTAGATATTCTGCATCCCGTCGACAACCACCAAAACATCCAATCAGCTGAAAAACACTGATAATCCGCTGAGCGACCTGCCACCAATTAGTAAGCCTCTAAATTCAAGTCACGCCTAAATTAAGCACCATAAACAAAATAAAGAATGCCCTATACTATGTTACAAGTTTTGGGTAAGAGTTTACTTTACCCCCCCCCCCACAGCCGAAGGGTCTGAAAGCTCTGAAAATTTTCGCTTATTTTTCGGGATTTTTGCAACGCCATTCGATAGAGCGTCGAAAAATATACTAAGAGTTTTAATTTGAGTCTACAATAATGTAAAATAAAAAAGTTATACCCAAAAACTTCCGGCTGGGGGGGGGGCATCAACAAACGTTTTTAGTCATGGTGGGCCTCGGCTTCGGGCCGGGCATCGTCGTCGGAGCCGTGTTGCAGTGTCTCGTCTGTTGCCTGTGCTTCCGGCGTCTTTCGAACAAGCAGGAGTGGGGAATCGTGTATTTATCAACAAAAATAATTTAATAAAAAATAATTAGGCATGCGGAGAGCTAGCAGAGAATCCTTTAGAAAGTCTAGGAATTTTTTTCAACTCAAAATGATCAAGTTCTCGGCTTTTCACGCTATTTTCCGCCACTTTAAAAAAGTTTTGTGTCAAATCTAGTTAAAAGAACGGCTCTCAAGAAGTTGGATTTTTAGCACCAAAAATGCGCCACCTCACCCACCGGAAGCGCCCGAGTCGCCGCAGACGCCCGAGACACCCCTCCGATCCGCCGAGGCCATCATGGTCGGGGTGGGCGACGACTTCAAGACCCTCGAGCCCCCATCCACCGACGCCATTCCGACAATCACCGACCAAGATTTTGCTGTGCCACGTCAGGTACGGTAGTCGGGTCATTTTTTAGTAACCGAGAAATCGGCGCTAAAGCTGCTTTCAGCGTTAGAAATTTTTGAAGTATCCTGTTAGCCTAATAAATTACGGTATTGGTCATTTTCCGTTTCCGTTTTCTGCTTAGTGCGATTCCGCCAAAATCCCTGCTAGCCTGCCAAGTTATGCTAGCTGCTCCTTTTGGAACGTTTTTCCAACTAGTTCCATCTAGAACGCACCCATTTTTAGGCGAGCAAGTCCAATCTCGACTCGTCCATGCCGAAGCACCAGAAGTACGAGAAGACGGAAGAATATGGCGCCGTCCCCACACTTGAGCCGGTCGGCGAGGTACGAAGACCCAACATAAATTGGAATTACCGCATCTTATCCAGCCGCTGCACACGCAGCCACCTCGCGACGCCTCCAAGTCGAGGTCACGCCACACCGACCCCGCCGAGCTCGAAAAGCCTGCAGCCGTCAAGCGAACGGCTATTTCGAAGAGCGGAGGAGGAAAAGTGGTAGGAAAATTTAAGTTTTTTGTCTTTTTAAAAGACTATTCTGGCCACCAGAAATACAAAACTTGATTAAAGCATACTATTTACCTTTTTTTAGAAATCCGGAAACGATGCCTCGGGGTCAAGGAGGCCAAAGAAACCGAGGGCCCGCTTTGGTAATAAGGTGGAGCTGCTCGCTGAACAGGTGGGAAACTCTCTTTCTATCTCACTCGATCTCTCTCTCTCTCTCCCTCACCTCCCCCCTCTCTCCCATCAAATCTATCTCTTTTCCAGGAACGCATGATGGACGAGATGGACTCGGTGGAATAAATGCAAGATCATCACCAGCCACCATCCCGCTGTCGCTGCCAAACGACCCTCAAGCAAAAAGCATCCATGAATTTAATCGAAACCTGAAGAATTCGTGCTAATAAACCGATGCGTTGTCGATTGTTGTGTTGCGTAGTTTACACTATCCTACCGTCACTTTTGAAATTGTGTGATCTTTTTCAGAATTCTACTGAACCTACACCTGCTTACGTTCCAGCCCCATTTCCCAGGTGGCCCCTGCTAGCTGACATCTTTGCCGCAGGGCTTCCTAAAGGTCTCCGCGATTTACCCAGTGGCTGGCGCTCTATCCTAAAAAATCTCTGCTTGTGAATAACCTTATCGTTAAAGTGTATTTTCTAATTTACTCTTTTCCCAGTTTTCCCCAAGCATCTCTGCTCGTCGCCCTGCTCGATTTTTCGCATGTTTCTTCAATCTGCCAATCATGTAACAACACTCAATTTTCAGAATATTTATTCCATACACATATGCAAAATGTTTTCGCCCGCGGGCGCGTATTATTGTTCAACATCTTGACGTTTCATAAAAAGGGGTGTGGCGGTGTTCGGGAGTCGGGGTCGATGCGAGGGGGGGCGGGCTGCTTCATTTCAGGTGTCGTTCAACGAGACGGGCGAGTTAAGGGCGCTGTAAAAGAGACTGTATAACGCAAGCGAGGGAGAGAGAGAGAGAGAGAGAGAGAGAGAGAGAGAGAAAGAGAGAGGAGAGAGAGATACCTTTGAGGTGGCGGGTTTCTTCCTGGAGGGCGTCTTGCTTGTGTTTTCGATTTGCGTCGCTCCGAGGTCCTCCTTCTCCTCGCGCTTCTCATCCTCCTTCTCCTTCTCCTCGATGCTGCGGATCAGGTCGAGCGGCACGGCGATCACGTTCGCTCTGGAAAAAATTGATAACCATGTTTTTTGACGCCCTTACGCGCAGATGATCAGGAGGAGCTTCAGATTACCACCCAACCCGATAAAAACCAAATGTATCTCGGCTTCCCGTACATCAACAGGTGTGTAAAGTATGCGAAAATACTCGCCAGTTCAAGATGAACATTTTGGTATACTTTACAAATCTGTAGGTTGAGGAGGAGTCGAAATACAAAGTGGGAAGCGCGGTAGGAGCGGTCGTTCGTAAAGGGTAGCGTCCAGTAACTTGCAAAACTTCCCACCTCTTCTGCGTGATCGTCACCGGCACCTTGAGCGAGTCGCTGGAGGGTGGCGTGACCGAGATTTCCTTGCTGATCGACTGGGTCCTCCCGACACGGCCCGAGCCTTTGCCCTGGTTCGACTTCTTGCCGGAACCCTTTCCGGACTTCTTGGCACCAGCCTTGCCCGAAGGCGGCTTTTGACCCGAAGCTGGTTTTTCGGTCGACGCCTGGAAATGAATGAGAAGCTCCAAGAGACAGAGAGAGAGAGAGATATCAAGAAAGAAAGGAAGACATTGATACCTTATTCTGACCCGACAGATCGTTTTCCTTGTAGCTCTGCGTCTTCGCCAGGGGTACCTTTGCCTGAAAACAACTGAGTTTTAGGCCAGAGAGAGAAAAAGAGCCAGAGAGAGAGAGAGAGAGAGAGAGAGAGAGAGAGAGAGAGGAAGAGAGAGATAGAAAGAATTCTGTTTTTCGCCCTCACCAATTGTTTCGCCACCAATGCCCTGAGCCGGTCCTCGTAGTCGATTTTCCCAACCGGAAATGGTCGTCCAATCGCCCTGGGCCTGGGCGGCCTCCTCGGCTCGGGTGCTTTCGGCGGTGGAATAACCACGTCCTTCTGAATAGATGATTTAACAATTTAAGAGCAAGTTTTTGTTGAAATAATATTTCATTTCAGATGGAAAATCCTATACTCTGCCATACCCCCAGGGGGTATACCCCCCATGGGGGTACAAAAGGGGTACGAGGTGGGGGTACAGCGGGGGTACGGGGTGGGGGTACAAAGGGGGTACCCCCACCCCCTACTCCCCCCACCCCCCAGCAACCCAATAGACATTTTCCAGTTACCTCCGACACATACCACATATCGGTGGCTCGCAAACAATTCAGGAAGAAATGACGAAGTCCGCCGGAATTTCACCAAGGCAGTTAATAAAATACGAAACTTGAAGTAAACATTTTTTAAATTCTTGTGATTTTTTTCCACTTAAAACAGGTCTGAATTTTACTAAAAACATTATTGAAACTCTTACTATAACGTTACCAGGGGTTTCTGGGTTTATTTCAAAAAGATTGGTCCGCCGATAAACTTTCAACTTAAAAAAATGTTTAGTTCAAATTTGGTATTTTATTAACTGCCTTGATACAATTCCAGCTGACTTCGTCATTTTTTTGTTGTATTTTTGCGATCCACCGACATGTGGTATATGTTATGTGGGAGGTCGCTAGAGAAAAATTTGCTGTGCTACTGGGGGGTACCCCATTTGTACCCCACCCCGTACCCCCTTTGTACCCCCACCTCGTACCCCTTTTGTACCCCCATGGGGGGTATACCCCCTGGGGGTATGGCAGAGTATAGAAAATCCCCTTAAAAACCTTCGGAATTTTAAACGTTCCAAATTTTTGTCAAGGGCACGAATTTTTCGAAAAAGCCTTAAGGTTATCTGCAGGATAGTAAAGTCGGTTTAAAAACAGCGGCTATTTTCATATTCGAAAAATTGGATACTAAAGAATAATATGGTTTCCTGCCTTACCCCCCCCAGCAAATGCCAAAGCACCAAACAAGCCGTATATGTATTCCCTACCGGCTTTTCAGCCGCAACAAGGGTCGGCTTCTTTGCGGCTTCTTCGGGCTTTTGCTTCTGGTCTTCGGGAGTTCGCTTGCTCTCTTCTTTTTTCGGCTTCTCCGCTTCGGTGCTTTGCTTCGGATCTGCGGCCTTTCCTTGGCTCACTTCCTTCTTCAGCTTGTCCTCCTCTTTTGTCGGCTTCTCCGTGTCGGCCTTTCGTTTGTCCCTTTCCTGTTTTCGCTTCTCGTCTTCTTGTTTCCGCTTCTCAGCTTCTTCTGCCCGCCGCATCTCGCGCACCCGATCCTCCACCTCCCATTTTAAGTGATAGGCCGCCATTGTCTCCCGGTCGGCCTTCCGCGCCAGCTCCACGTCGATGGCCCGGTCCTGTCGTTTGAATCTGGGATTCAGATTGTGAATGCAAATCTGGTGCCATACACGCAAAGCGCGGTGAATGCCCCGCAAAGGACGGCGAGGACGGCGAGGACCGGGACCGCGATGTAGGTGAAGCCATCCTGGAAAAGATGGATGAAAGCGAGAGAGAGAGAACAAGAAATGCCAACGTGATTTGCACACAAAATTCGCATGTCTCCTTCAGCGCTTTCTCTCTCTCTCTTTCTCTCTCTCTCTCTCTCTCTCTCTCTCTCTCTCTCTCTCTCTTTCTCTCTTCTCTCCTCTCTCGCTCCCATTTCTTACTCTCTCTCTAAAACCTCAAACCCTACCTCCAACGAGAATTCCGGCACTACCACAGTTGTGGAAGGTTCCTCTGTCGCTGCGTCAGTAGGCGCCCAAAGTACAGCTGCCAGAAGGAGAATCGCCGTCGCACTGGACGCCATCCGGCCCAAAGATGGCCACATGGCGGGCTGAGGTCGAGTAGAAATGGAGGATTTTTCGTAAAAGTGTGCATTGAAAACAGGTTTAAGCCAATTACGCTAAATTTCATGCGCAGTCCAATTTTTATGCAAATTTTTCCTCCTCCTTCCTTGAAGTAGTGGTCTCTCTCTTTCCCTCTCTCTCGTGCGTTCTCTCTTTTCTTCCTTGTCTTTCTTTCTTTCCTTCGCTACCCTGCTATTTTCTGTTGTTTCCTGTTTTTTTTCTGGATAGCCCTAGTTTCCCTAGTTCCGTTTTATCCGCCCAATTCCAAAGTTTTTAAATATTTCCGGTCCTATAGAAAATTTTGACCGTTCAGCCATTCAAAATTTCAGACAGACCCCGAATTCCTGACCAGAAACTTTGACCGCTAATCGAACCCCTCGTTCCTTATCGACACAGATCGCCGGGCCAACCCCCCCCCTCCTGCTTTTGATATGGCCGGCTTATTTTGGCGACCACCTTGAGGGTGGTCTGGCCGCATTCCGATATTGATTTCCCGGAAACTGGCTATAACCCCTGTGAAAATTCCTATGCTGCGATTGGCTGTTTTGCTAGCTTTATTTAATTTAATTTCTGTAGCTTGGGCTGGCCAGATATATTTGGATCCGACGAAGCCGACAACCACGACGGCGGTGGGTTAGAGCGAGAGCTAGAGAGAAAGAGAGAGGGAGAGAACGAGTGAGAGAGAGAGAGAGAAAACGAGTGAGAGAGTGAGAGAGTGAGAGAACGAATGAGAGCAACAGCTAGAGATATTTTTTTCAGGAGCCAACCACTCCCAGTCTGACCCGAAGATTTCTAGCTCAAGTCCCATTAATTGGAGAAATCCGTAAGTCTCCATTTTCTTTATGCTCTAGTTTAACCATTTTTTAGAGAAAAATTCCGGCCCTGCATTAGCTATATGGCTAATCCTCCTGATCATCTTCTTGGTTTTTTACATTCCAGCCTCGATATTGTATTTTGTGCGAAGATATCGCCGGGAGCGTGACGGGTGAGTATTCTTATTACGGGTGATATTTGGTGTCATTAAAGTACTGTGGAACTTTTGTAAACCGAGCATCGCCCAGCGCAAATTTATTGATATTTAGGACATCAAGAAGCCCAACTTCCAACGGTCGATTAGAAGAGCTGGAAGAGCTCAAATTTGTCGATGAAGGGAATGGAAGGGCTAAAAATGGGAATGGACGACATGTCTAACTTGGAATATACCATACCACCTCTTCTCTAATCCTACTACTTACTACTAATAATTACTTGCAAAATTTTCCATACGAAGTTGCAAATTCCCTGAGTATTTTGGTATTGTACACATCGATGACCGCCCTATCTCTCGCGCCCTCTTTCTCCTTTATCTCTCGCCCTAACGTTCCTTCTCTATCCATCTCTATCTCTCTCGCTCTCTCTCACTCTCTCACTCTCTCACTCTCTCTCTCTCTCTCTGTCTGTCTGTTCCTCTCTCGCCCTTTCTCCCTCATTTTCGTCCTACAATCTTAGCTCTTTTTATCCAATTAGCATTTTTCCGATTACGACAGTTTTTCCTCCCTTCTGCAAGCCAACCCTATTCAAATGGTAAAATTTCTTGCACGAATAAAACGATCGCCGTATTATGTTATTTTGCACCCATTTTGACCTTGCCCCAGGCAACCAGCCGAGCTTCACCACTCTGCAAACATAGGCACCGAAGCGATGAGGCATCGTATGGAAAATGAGAGAAATCGAGAATATCGAGAGTGAGCGGTAACGTGTAAAAACTGAAATCAACAAGTGCACCGCCCGTTTTCTATTGTACTTGAGGGCATAATGGCGAACTTGGTGGGCGATGGATGGCTAGACAGGGAGGAGCGAGAGCGAGAGAGAGAGAGAGAGAGAGAGAGAGTAAGAGAAAACGAGAGGGTCTGAAAATGGAAACGATGTGCGTGACCGGGAAGGTTGTTCAAAGACGCTCAAAAAAAGCCAAAAATCACCCGGGACGATTCCATGCGAAGTAGTTTTGGAACTGGGTTCAAAAGGGCTTGCTAAAGGAGCTAACAAGCTTAAGGTTCAGCCCCTCTTTGGAACTGGGTATCGAGAGCTACGCTAACATAAGAAGTAAATGCCAATTACGCAAGTTACATCATTCTGACATCCCTCTTCTGAAAAAAATTGGAGTTATAAGCGGGTAGCATTCTTGCAGAGATTTTTTAGGAATAAGCTTTTACTTCGGACAATGCGACGACTTCAAGGAGGGTCCAGGCAGAGAACTTTTGCGGAAAGCTGGTGGATATTTCAGCTCTGTCTCTTTTTTGTGGCGGCTGAAAAAGTCCTTGCAAAACGTCTTGAAAAGCTATAAAACTGGCCCCTTTTGCTTGTCTACAAGGGCCAACTAGCAGAGATCCTTTGAGGATTGTTTGCACGAGGTGGGAATTTTTAAAGCTTACCTGGTAGGATTCGCGAGTTTGTTTTTCTTTTCGGCAAGTTTCATTTACTCGCCAATTCCTGGGTCGGCTCATTGTCCCGTTGGCAACAAATGACAATAAAAGTAGGAAGAGTGAGAGGGAGAGAGAGAGAACGAGAGAGCGAGAGAGAGAGAGAGCGAGAAAGATACAACTACAGAATAAAGCTCCAAAATTGACTAGACACTTTCCACGCCCCCCCCCCACCTCAAGAAAGCGAAAGTTGTTTTTGCCATCCCCGCAGGCTGTACGGTCTCGGGAAATTGAGAAGATTGTCTTTTTGGTTGTTCCTCAATCCGTTTGTTCAGCCCGGGGGGAGCACGAGCAAGAAAGTGATAAAGTGAAAATCGGGAAAGGCACACAGATGCACAAAAAAACGGATAATTTGAGGGATTGTGGCATTGAACTCTCGCGAGCGGGAGGAGGTACCGCCTACCGTATCAAAATCAAAATGTTGTGTTTGGAGGTTGGTCGTGGTCATTTTAACGGCTAGACTTTTCTTGCTATGAAGCATATAGTGGGCTAAATTTTTAATCTGATTTTTTTACAATTTTTGATCGCAATTTGGAGCTCGGCTCTGCCCTCGGGTCACTGCCGCCCCGAAAGACCTCTCCCCTCTCTTAGCCCGGCCGCCACGCGCCCCAATCGCCTGCTTCCGTGGCGCAATCGGCAGCGCGTTCGGCTGTTAACCGAAAGGTCGGTGGTTCGAACCCACCCGGGAGCGTACTTTTTGCTTTTTGGAGGAAGGATTCGGAGAAGGTCCTAAAGGTATTCTCAAGTTTTAGGTCAGTTTTTCAGTGCTTTCAGTGGTAAATTTTGTGAATTCTGAGCAAAGCCGAGCCGCCAAAGGATTACGACAGTAAATTAAAACGTCTGCGGTCCACTGTTTTCGACCACTTCATCTATTTTTGCCAGATTATTGATTCTTTTTCCGCATTTATTGTGGCCAGAGCAGTCATTTTGCCCGGTTTTTAAGGCTACAGCTTACTTAGAAAATTTCCCCGATCAAACAAGCTTCTTGTGACATAAAACCTATACTTAAAGTTAGAAGCGAAAGGATGCGAATACTTTCTATTAGAGGCGAATCGCGTTGAAACTAATTTCTATTTTTCGGATTCAGCAGTACCGAATTCAGCAGTACAGGAAATATTTTAAAAACCTCATTCAACCTCAGCAAGCAGTTCACAAAGGTTATTCGATCCGCTACACCCAATTCCGAGGAGGTGCTACTACCATTTCCCCCACCCTCCCGAGCAGCTGATGAGTAAGAAGCTCTTACTAAAAGAAAGAGGTGATTCCAAAGGTTCGAGGTCATTCTAACCGGGCACACACCTATGAGGGAAACGACAAGCTGACCGAGAGACGCCCCCGAAGGGAACTTGCCGATGTCATCCCTTTCTTTCTTGGGTTTCTTTCTTGACTGAATTCCGCTTTGCCATTGGCGAGTATCCACTAAACAACAGTTTCCCCAATTTTTTGGCTACTGTAGAGAATAGCGGTCACTCTAATTAGGTGGTTATGCTGGAAATTGGCTGCTTGAAGTCAGGAATTGATAATTAACGATCAGAATATTCAAATTTTATTCTGCGGCCGTTTTCTTATGTTTCCGGTTATTCCTGACCTACTTTTGGTCTTTCAGAAAAGTGAGGTATCTCGTTAATCGCGTAACTCTGGAATGACTTTTCGTTCTCGCATTTCCGCTTTCTCTATCTCTCCCCTCTTCCTTTCTCTCAGGTTCTCTCAAACTCTCCCCGTCTCTCGGGCTTTCACGCTCTCTAGCTCTATTTCTCGCGCTATTTTACTCTCCCGCTTTCGATCCCTCTCTCTCGATCTTATGCTCTCTCGCTCTCATGAGGTTTCTAACCCGCTCCTTCGAGCTCTCTCCAGCTCTCCTCTAGCCTAGGCCTTAGGTTAGGCCTGACCCAAGCAACTCTCTCTCCACCTCTCTCTATGTATATCTCTCACTTTCTCTCTCACTTTCTCTCTCTCTATCTCTCTCTCTCTCACTCTGAGTGATCATCCAGTATCCTCAAATGCTTCAGGTAATTCCTCCGCCGAACCGGGAAAGGCGGTCCATCGGAAAATCAGAGCAGCATGAAGTTACTGGTAGCTTCAGAAAGTTCTTACACTTCCAATCATCTACATTTAGATACCTTTTCTGGCTTTAATCGGCTCCTCCTTAGCCGGAAACTCCGGAGGATTTTATCAGGGGTCACCACAAGGTCCGCCTCAATATCAGCAGCCAGCTCAGGTAGAAAACATAATTTGTTGTTTTTATATTAGTGATTGTAGGGATTGAAAAATTACGATATTTTCGAGATTTCTTCGATGAAACTCTCTTCATCGAATGTTCGATCGACAAATTTTTTTAGTTCTACCAACAACCCCAACAAGCCCCTCAGAACTTCGCGCCACCTCCGACACAGCAGTACTTCCAGTACGTTACGCTACCGTCTACGCAATCTAATTGACTTTTTAGAAACCCCGCTCCCCCGCAAAACTATCAACAAACCGGCCCGATCATCGGTCAACAGCCGCTGCAACAACAGCAGGCCCCCCAGCAAAACTACGGGCAGCCAGGGCAGCAGCCGCAGCAGGGATGGGGGCAGTGAGTTTTTCATGAGATTAACATTGGCATTAATAGGACAATTTAAGTCTTGGAACGTCAGAACCTAAGCAAGAGAGAACGAGAGAGAGCGAAAGAAAGAGGGGGAGAGATGAGAGCGAGAGAGGGGGGATAGCGAGAAGAGAGACAAAGCGAGAAAACTAATCGAAAAACTTCCAGGCAAAGTGCCGGTATTCCTCCAGCGCCAAGCCGTGCTTCTTCAGCTCCTGCTAAGGTAATTTGCCTTTTCTATCGAGATGATACGGTAGCTGTAAAGAGGTGTAAGCTGTAGCGTTGTGTTTCGGAACGTGGTGTCTTCTCATGTTTTATTGATTTTTGTGCTACTCATTTAAATGATGTTTTTAGGCCAACGGAGGCATACGCGCACGTATCAATCGGAAAGCGTTTGAAGATATTTCGCCGATTGCCGAGCAGATTCTGAACTCCGAGATTACGAAGGCCAGGCTGCCGCCGATTAGCCAGTGCATTCCGCAGGTAAGAACAACGAAAAAAATTACCTATTGACCTTCACAATACCTTTAAAATTAACCGGCGTCCCCATTTCACCTGGCCTAGTCAGTTATAAGCTTCACAAGACCTAAGCAAGTAAAATAAAACATCCTTTTCAGGCCGATGGCTGCCTCCAAATCTACAACATCTTCGTCGCCAGATACAAATGCCCCACTTCGGTGAAAATCCGTCCAGCCGAACCAAACGTGATTAGGATCTCGGTGAAGGGCCTGGATATTGGGTTCGTTACCGTATTCTGTTTTCTATTTTGTTGTTATTCTTCTGGAAACACCGACGGTTTCTAGAGTGACCAGCAACCTGGGAGGCCGCTTCGTGATCCTCATGCCAATCCAGTTGTTCGGCATCGTGCAGGCCAATTTGTTCCATGTCTCTTTGAAGGTCGACCTGACAGTTCAGAGGTGAGTAGTGGCGGAGTGCAAGATAGAGAGAAAGGGCAAGAGGAAGAGAGAAGGAGAGAGAAAGAGATAGGGAGAGAGAGAGAGAGAGGGGGAGAGAGGGTTCAACGAGGTAAAAATTTGCTTAGATCGATCACCGGAAGTCCTCAAATCGGAGTCGCCAGTTGTCAAGTGAAAATCGGAGGAGCTGACGTTTACATCGAGCAGGGAGGGCTATTGGGACAAATCGCGAACCAATATTTGAGGGTAAGTACCGGTTTCTATCTCATTTATCTCTAAAATACTAACTTAAATTAACTTTTTAAGTATATCACGGACAATTTTCGCTAACTTTCACGTTTCCAATTTCAGAAGCGCCTATCGAAAATCATCCGCAAAATGGCGCCCCCGAAAATCTGCCAACAATTGCCCCAGGTTATCAACGAGAAGCTGAGCGGAAAATTATCAGGTATCTAAATTAATACCGAACTTTGTGCTTTTAAATTCTTTAAATGATTTTCACTGTTTTTGTCCCGTTAAACCCAACTTCCAGCTATCCCTCAATCAATTTCCGTCGGCCAGATGGTGGACCTCTTTGGTAGCGCATTGGGATTAGAGGAAGGAGGCTCTGAGACGACTACGGTAATGGGCTACGGCTGCTGTATCTTTCAATGCCTCATTTTTTAGGAAGCATCCAGCGCGGATTCCGGCAAGACTGAGGATTCTGGAAAGACGAGCGAGTCTGATTCGGATCTACAAAATGTTGGCGATTCGGGAGATTCTCAAGTTTCGGTAAAACAGCCAGTGGAGTACTAAGGTTTATCAAATTTGTAGACGATTGCCGATTCTGCTAGCAGCTCTTCAGTGTCGGAATCTTCTGGCACACCAAAGCCTGGATATCAGGATCGTAGGAAAGGTAAGAAACTGGCTAGTTGGGTTTTTAAAGGGGTTTTTACGGATTTGGTGTAATTTACCGCAAAGCGACACGCACGCAAGCGCTCGTCATTCCATGGGGTAATCGATTACGCGTTGCCTGTCAAGGTGCGCATAATATCACCGGGAATGCATCGACCAGGATGCTTTGCAGATACCTTTAAAACCGAAAGATCTTCTTCAAAGCTTAATATATCTTTATTTTCAGTCAAGAAAGCCCGCGCCGTCTCCAGAAGGCGCTCGGCTAAACAGCAGGAGGTATTTATAACCTTAAACTCTCTAAAAATACCTACTCTTACTTTAGAAACGCCACAATCATCGTGTTGCCCGAGCTGTACCAAGCTGGGTATGTGGCTTTAGTGACTTTAAAAATACATCACAGGCCAATCAAACCCTGGAGTCATTGGACGCGCAGAACTATGAGATCGAGAAGCAAGCCATTGTTCGTGCACTAATGGCCGCGATGGATTTGGTGGATGGACCCGAGGTATGGTTCAAAAAGCGCGAAAAATATAGCAGCTTTATAGTTTCAAATTTAGCCCAGTACTTTATAAAATTAAAGCTTTAGCTTAGCTGCCAATGTCAATTGCAAAAAATCAAACCGTAAGTTGTGGCGTTTAGAAAAACGACCTCAACCGACTCCCCAGAGCCAGCAGAAATTCGATGGAGCCGGAGAGCTTTGGCGAGATCCCGAAGGTCAGGAGATCGTCTGGACTCTCTTCTGGACTCAAACGGAAACTACGGTAATTGATAAACCGTTTTTTCATATTCAACTTCATTTAGTCAATCTGACGACGATGATGACTCCTCATCATCAGCAACGCCAAGCGATCCAATGGCCCTCCTCAAGCAGTTCGCCTCCAAGCTTGATTTTGTAAGTCGCGTCGTCGGCATTACCCAAATGATCTCTGCTCAATTACGATTGCTTCTGAAAATATACCTCTTGATTTTCAGAAGAAACTCGATGACGTCTCTGTCTCCCTCGGGCTGGTCAAAACCGAGGCCTCCAAGTGCGGATTTGCCGTCGATTTGGATGGAGAATTCTCGCAGAATGCTGTTGGTAAGTAATTGTTAATGGCTTTCATTATCGCTCGCTCGCTCTCTCTCACTCTTTCTCTCTCTTTCTCCCGCTCTCTTTATCTCGCTCTCTCCCTCGTTGATCAATTTTATATACCCTCTGTATTTCCTAGGTGGTACTCCCTACACCCCAATCCGTACTGACTTCCCGGAGCAGTGCGATAGCCACCAAGCCGAGCTTATCCTTTCGGACTATTCGATCAACACGCTGCTCTACAACCTGCATCAGTAATTCAGATTTTCGGTCCATGAAAGCGCTTGAATTCCAGAAAAGATTTCCTCTCCGTGTCGCTTGGGCCTGATACCCCCGTTATTGGAGCTCTGTTGAAGGATTGTACTTCGGATGATGAGGACGACGATGAGGATGAGGATAATGACGTTCAGGTAGAGGGAGCGAGAAAGAGAGAGAGAGAGAGAGAGAGAGGGAGGAAGAGTGAAAATTCCTCGACGTTGTGAGCTATCTAACTTCGATTTATAGCTTGATGATGAAGACGAAGACGAGGATAAGGAGCTCAAGAAGAAAAAACGCCATGTAAGTCAGTTTTCACCAGTCATTTTTACGCAATTTTATAGGTACGTCATCACAAAAAGTCGGCCAAGCGCCATACGAAGAGATCAACTCGCCGAGCCGCTTTGCTAAAGGCTGTCAAGCTGCAGAGGGATCGCAGGCAAAGTTAGTTATTTTGCAGCTGAACCGAAGCCGAGGAACTGCCGAAAAACAATGATTTAATTGTTATTAAACCAAAAACTATATTTTAGTCGACCTCTCCTCCCTCTCCGAGCTGGGCTTCTGTTTTGGAGCACTGCCCGGAATCAAGGAGAAATACGCCGGAAAGACTTTGAGGTAAGGAATTATATCTCAATTATATAAACTTTCCCTTAATTAATCTCGGGTACTGTCAATTTCTGATTTTAGTCTGACAATCCATACCAATGAGGTGCCAAAACTGGAGATCACCGGAGGAGAGGGAAAAGCGGAAGTCGGGGTTGACGTCGATATCTATTTGAATGGAACGCAGACCAAAGTATGAATTGAAATTAATATAACATTAAAATTGTGTTTTAGATCGCAACGATTGTCATCCACATGAAAGCTTCCGTCAAGGCTACCCTGAAAGACGGAACATTGAAGGGATCGTTGGAAATTGATGATCTTAAGATTAAGTAAGGTCTCTCTCGCTCTCTCTCTCTCTCTCTCTCTCTCTCTCTCGCTCTCTCTGTCTCTCTCCCTCGCTCTCGCTCCCTCTCTTCCATGCTCTTCGATTTTGACTTCTTTAGCGACAAAGACGGCTCTACCGGCTTCCCGCAAGACGCTTTTGACAATATCAGCAGTCTGGCGAAGGACATGTTAGGAAAGGTAGGCTTTTTTATCGGGTTTTTGATGCTAATTCTTTTCAGGTTGCCAGCGAGGCTCTAGAAAAGGGCATTCCGGTCGAAATCCCGAAGATTCCAAGCCTGCCTATCGAAATTGTGAATCCGGAGGCTCACGTAAGTGTTTTAAGGTTTGAAAATGCTAAAAAAACTCCGTTTTTGGCCATATACGACGCTTAAAATCACGTGTTCAAGTCGTAACGCTTACAAAATAGTGTCTTTCTGACGTTACCGTACGTAAGAGTACGATAGTACGAACTGTTGCTGTTTTCAGTTCATCGAGCACGGTCTCTACATCGCCACCGACATCACGACCGGACCGGAAGCCCTGGGGCTTCTTGGCGTTTCCCTGGACTCTGGGGCTCAATGCTAGAGACGCTTTACTACCCCTCGACAGCCATACCGTATCCCTACCGTAACCCCCCGGGTGCCACCCACTGCCATGTCCATGATTTCAGTATTTGTAACTACTCGTCGTTGTCGTTTGAAGCTTTGGATAGGGAATAAATATTTATTCATGTCATGAGAGTCAGCAAATATTCTCTGCTAGCTACCCGCAAGCTCTAAGGTTCCAACCCAATCCACCGGTACCAGATCGGCGCATTGGTGTGACAGCCCATCATACCCTGAGGGGGGTATCCGTCGTCTCGTAAGGGTTGGGTTTAGAGGGTGGATGGATGTATTGTCGCGTGGACAACTGCTGCGCAATACAACAACCCCCACCAATCTCTTTCGGGTATCTTCCCCCCTCTACAATCCACTACTATGGCCCATCCCTATCCCCCAATTATTCGTCCCCCCCCCCTCCCCGAGGGTAATGAGGTCCCGGGGCGGCCTGGAAGAAAGGCTGCCCACCTCCTTCCGGTTGCCTCGATTTATGACCCCTGTTCTTCGCACGCAAGTGGAATTTGTGATTTGGGCTTTTAGGGTTCGGGTCGGATCTAGGGCTAGGGCAAGCTAGCGGATGTTAGTTGCTTCTTCCTATCGATGTCAATTTTGGAAATGTTGCAGAATTTTGCAGTTAATATTGGATTTTCAAGGATTTTTACGAATCTGACAAGCTAGCAGGAAAAAATTTACGAAAATTGGAACCAAAAGCTTACAAATTTGACCCTTAAATGATCGTACCAGGCGCGGGGAGGAGGTATCTAGCAGAGGACCTTTTAGAAAACTTTTTGTCTTCGGTTATAATTTGATACTTAAAGAACTAGGCAAGCTAGTAAAGACTATTTTCGGAAATCTCGGCTTAAAGATTTGTATTTGATCTCGTTGTATGACTATCTAGCAGAGACGCCTCGCAATTTCAGTTCTGATGTTTGTAGTTTGTCTCCCAAAAGGTATTTACCATTTGAGGCAAGCTAGCAAATGCATTTTGCGGAAACCGCCAAGCCAAAAATCGCCAATTTCCAAGGGGAGAAACATGGCTCTGGGGATCCTTTTCATAGACATCGTTTTGCCAAACGGGGAGGATCGGGTTACCGAGTCAAGCTTGAGACGGCCAGCCGCAGGTGAGCCCCATTTTTCAACCCGTTTTCATTTCGATATTTACCTTTCTGGGGTTGAGTCAGGTAAGGGACGCTATATAACAGGTTAACTATACGATTTTGTTGCTTTAACGACATCTTAAAGTCCAGAAGTACTGCTTACCTTACTTGCTCTCTCTCTCTCTCTCTCTCTCTCTCTCTCTCTCTCTCTCAATATATACTTTCTCGCTATATGAATTCCGCCGCATATCCGCTGTTTCTTATTTTATTGTTGTGGCGGTCGGCGAATCGGGGCCTCATTTTTTTGGCGCCGCCGTTTCAAACATTAAGCGCCCGCCGGTAAATGGGGAAATCCTGTTGTTTCTATACTTTTTTGGTGTCTTTACATCGGTGCTTTTTGCCAACCTATACCTTGACTGTAAGGTATTTCCGTCTTGCATTAGCAAAACCGTCCGTCGCTGGTTTCTCGTGCTACGTGAAAATTCCAATTCATTGGATGCTGTTTCATGGGTGTTTCATTGCTTTGAGATTTCAGCTTTTACAGCTTTTGACAATCAGACCGCGTCATATGATGCATTTTAGAGGACAAAATTTTAAAAGCTTTAAATCGAATCCCCACTACAAACTGCGAATGACTTTCGTAATTTGATCCGTTCTTAAATTCATCGTTTTTCGGAGTAAGTTATCTATCGTAATGCTAATTACGATAGACACAATTTACCGGGATGACACCCTCAGAACCGTATCTCTTTATTCTCTTAAAAATACGGTAATTGTCTTGATGAAAAGGTAGGACGGTATGCTAGGTAGTGTTCAGTCCTGCAAAACCCTCAAAATTCGCCATTCTCCATAAAATCACGCCATCCCTATGGTATTACGTCGTTAGTATGTCCCCAGTCAAGTTGTCCCCCCCGGCCGCGTCGGGGTTTTGCCCCAGGCAGGGGACTGCCCGGGCGCCCCGAAGCACATGCTTTACACCCATTCCGGCTCAGGGGCCTGTCAAAAGGGCCCACAGGGGGCACGCAGCCGGGTCTGAAGGCGATTGGCAATCGCTCTCTCTATTTCGCTCACTCTCTCTCCCCCTTCTCTCCCTCCTCTATCGTCTTGCTCAAACCCAAACCACCGGATGGATCGGCACAGACGTCTTTTTTGAGCGACTCACGACTCAACGGGTTGCTTTGGGTCTGCTTTTCTTTGGTTTCTCTTTCTTGCTCTCTCTCTCTCGCTCTCTCTCTCTCTTTCTATCTCTCGCTCGCTCCCTCTCTCACCCAAGCTTCACACATCGTTTCCGAATTGCTTGGGTCGGGGCTACCACTGTTGCCAAATTGCTTTCACGCCACACTGGTGGACTGGCGGGTCCCGCCACGATCCTGTGGTTTTATAGCAGGAATAAGTTTTTTTGGCTTGGAGCTAGAGGCGTTCAGGCTGGATCACTAACATCGGATTGTGTAAGGTTGTCAATTGGACTTTTCTCGCCCCGCGAGTTATCCCCATCTTTTCATGTACTATTGGTGCTAATTGTTCCATGGGAAAAACAGTACATCGCCATCTATTTAATTTTTTTAAATCGATTTAAGAATAACCTTTCTGGGTATACGGTATTCTATTAGATTTAGGAATTGCATTTGGAAGAACTTTCATTCGCTATTTCGGGGTTTTTCAAATTTTCGTTTTCCTGCATTTTCATGCGCCGGCGTTCCGTTTTTCCGTTTACGCTAATTTGTAGGAAATGCGTTTTTCTCTTCCCTACGTTTCCATTAACTCCCCCCCAAAAAAGGTCTGTTTTCCCTTTCAACAAGTTCATGCTTCCGCTCGAGTGCTTTTTACGGAAAATCGGATGTGGGGGCGAGAGGATGTGAAATTTGGTAGTAGTACGCGACTGTACAGTTTCTAGGAGAAACACCCCAGCTCCAATTTATCTGGAAAAAAATCGATTTACCACATTTTATCACGTTTTTAGCTCTTTTCAACTTCATCCTCTTCTTAAGGATTTGTTGGCATTTTGCCACGAATTGAAATAGACTGAATCAAACCTAGAAATTCTCTACCCGATCAAAAACGGCTATTGAAAACAAATTTCTGAACCTCTGACACAAAAAAAATATCGAAAAGCATCTCGCCCCTTCTATTCAGCCGATAACTTAGCCCCTGAATAGGCCGAACGCGTCGATTCATCGGCTTTTCCGGGGCCTGAAGCCGAGGGGGGGGAGGGGTGAAGGTGCGAATTTTGGCCGGCTATAGTTTTTGAATGGCCGCCGATTCGTCAGCCGGGGAAATGGGGGGGGGGTGATGGGTTATTTTGCTTCGATTTTTCTAAAATGCTAGCTCTCTCCGGCTCTGGCTAGCTCTCTCTCTATCACTCTCCATCTCTCGCTCTCTCTCTTTCTCTCTCCCTCTCACTCTCTCTCCCTGTCTTTCGCAGACACTCTCTCGTTTGCTCGCCGTTTCTCTCGCCCTGGCATTCGATTTCTATCGCTCTCTCTCACACACTCTCTCACATTCTCACGCTCTCTCTCTGTCTCTCTCGTTCTCGCTCATTCGCTCGCCCAAATTTACATGCCAATGATTCGGTGTTTACGAGTCGTCCGTGTCAATGGGTGTCTTACGGATTTAACGACTCGAGTGCCCCTAATTTGCGTTATCACATCAGAGATATAGAGAGAGAGTGAGATAGAGAGAGAGATTGAGAGAGATGTAGAGAGAGAGGGAGAGATTAGAGATTTAGAGATAGCGATATGAACGGCTGGCTGGGGTGTTGTGGCTAGGTGTGGGGGATTAGTCAACAAAATGCCCAACGATGCATCCCGAAATTCCCCTGGGGACATTGACCACAGGCTGGCTGGCCGGCTGGCCCACCCCAGATTGGTCGGCCAGGTGGGCTTTTGGCTAATTTCTGGGTGAAGGGACAGTTTTTCTATACTCTAAACTTTTTTTCTTCTTTCTTTCGAGTCGGGCGATTTCGGTAAATCCTGCATGATGAATTTACATTTTAACTCCGTTATTTTTCTGGTTTTCGTCGAATTTTGGTAATTTTTGGTTTTTTAATGACTTTACGAAACACTTTTGTAAAGATTGCTTTGAAAAATATATGACGATCCTGGTGGATCTATTCAAAATGCTTTCTGACTACAAAATACCTTTGATTTTCGTGGGAATGATCATGAAAAATCAAGGGAATTTTTATCACTTTCTAAAGCGCAAATCCATGAGTTTTTGCCTTCCAAGTGCCTTTAAAACCCGCAAAGACCTGGGAAAGATGATTTTTGCTAAGTTTCTTCTCTTTGGCCAAAATTCGGAGCAATTCCTCACGTTTTATGACTTGCATAGCTATTCAAAAGCGGTTGAAACTGTAAATAACGAAATTCCGATAGTTTTCACTGCTTTTTCGAGATTTTATAGTCAAATCGGTAAAGTTTATTGATCGAAAAACCATCTCCCCATCACAACATCGCTTCAAAGCAATTCTGAACTTTTCTGAAACTCTTCCCCCCCCTGCACTTGGCTAGTTTGCTGTTCCCAAGCCCCGCCGCATATTTATTGGCCAGTGGGCGCGGGGGTGGGCAATTCTTTGACCACTCGAAATCCACACCCATCGCCCAGGGGCTCTCATATTATAGGTACGCGCAGTTCAGAGACAGTTTTTGATTTATTCCGCGTCGCGAAATTGGACCAAAATGCCTACCGGTCAGAAGCTAACGCCAATAAAGCCTGAGCTTATCTCACCTGACCCCTTTTATGAGGGTTTTATGGGCTGCAAGGAGAAAAAAACAAATATTTCCAGCTGAGCCCCGTTAACCAGCCAGCTATATTTGATTTGGATTTTTTAAACATTTATTTTGATTGAATGAAGATAGAGAGAGAGCGAGAGAGAGAGAGAGAGAGTGAGAGAGAGAGAAAGAGAGAGAGGAAAGAGAGCGAGAGAGACGTAAGATAACGAGAGATTACGATCCCATCGAAAAAATTCCCCCCACGCTAGATTCAACCCTTTTTGCCATCTTCCCCCCATCCCTCAACTCGCCATTGCCAAAGTGGGCCGGGTTGGCGCGAATCTTGGGCCCAAATATTTGGGCTCTTCTTTTGATATCGTGTGAGGCGAGTGTGCTGGAGCGAATGGAAGGGAAGGAGGGAGGACACCGGTCAACGTGAGAACGCACAAAGTCTAACATCAGTTTTTTTCTGGGCTGATGAAGGGATTACTTAGTCATCATGAGGCTTCTTGGGTGAGATTTATTCAATTTGAGCTTTATTTGTGTAAAATTAGTAAATGTGGGCTTTTGCTAGTTTGGAGCCGGCTGCCACCTCATAATTAGCTAAAATTAAGGTTAGTTCGGGTCGACTGCCGCTTGCACAAGCTAGCAGTCCTAGAGGCCGAAGCTAACCTATCCGAGATACGCCTTCGCCGCTCCGTAGGGATTACCCGATACCTGCTAGATATACTGGTTTGTCTTCCCGGTCCCTTTAAAGTTATCCGCGGGGAATTTTGACGCGGTTTTCCAGGTTCTTGCCGAACCCAAATTCTTGCCTTTCCAGTCCCTTTAGTAGTAGTATTTACTTCGAGTTTCCGGCTCCCGGCCTTTCCGGCTGTCCCAATCACTAAAAATCAGTGTTTTCTCAGTGTTCAGATTTTTTTACAATAATTTTTGCCCTAATACTTTCATGTTAGGTCTATGTTAATTTTTTAGTTCGTAGGGTTTATCTTAAAAGGCGAAGTTCTATACGTAACGTTCCCTCCTTCACTTCACCGTCCCTTTAAAATGCTTTTATTGATATGACCTTTTCTTTCAGATGCATTCGCTTTACTCTAAAACATCTACTACCCTCCCGATCCATGTTTTCACACGCAAATCCCCGCCCAGATGTTCCCCCCAGGCTTCCAATGTTATTTCCCAAAATGTCCAGTCCAGTTGTTTCAAAGAGAGGGCAGTGTATCTGCGTATGTGTGTGTATTTGAAGGCGAACGAAAAGCCGAAAAGGCAGACTAAAGGGGGCAGAGCTGGGTGGCTGGCCAGTTCGAAGGAATGGCCAGCTGCCACCCGTTTCGGGACCTTTTTGCCGGTGTGTGTATGTGCGCCCCAAATCTTTCTGTGTCAGCAGTTCAAAGGGTCGTCGCGGAAGGGGAACGCCAAAAAGAAAAATTACCCTCTGCAGAACCACATTCACAACTATTTGGCGCACACCGGGTGAAGCAGGCCACTTCCGGTTCGGTCCAATTTACGGGCACATTTTTGAAGGCCCGTTTCCGTTTTTGAGATGTTTTTAACCTTTCGGGGTTACGGTAGACAAGAGCATGCCTTGAATCTTATCCTAACTTGAAATTCCTAATCGTAGATTGTCGCCGTTAACTTGCCCCTGGAACGCACGGTCTGGCCGAATTTAAGAAGCATTCTTTCATGTTTGGCTTCCGTTTTTAGATATTGCTAACAATTTGGAAAATACAATAGACTGGCGGTTGTCATTAAAAACGCCTCGTGTCAATTCCTAAATTCTCTCTGCTAGCTTGCCCAGGAAAACCACGAATGAAGCTGTTCCGCAATTTTTAAGCTTCTTTGCGCCGGGATTTTTGGCTTGCAGGGCTTCAGCGGTTCGTGGTCTCCCAAAGTCTCTCTGCTCGTCTGCCCTTTTTATCTATGACAGCGAGATTTTATTTAATACAATTTTCTGTAGTTTTTTCTCGACTTTGTTCATCTCCTTTAGTTTCCGCTTTTCTTTCTTCGCTTTTTTAAACCTGAACTTCCGCTTCACAACCCCAAGAATCTACCCAGTTTTTTGAGAATCAGCCCTGGCATGGCAGCGCTATTTCAAAGATATTGGCGATTCCGACCCAGGATAAGCTCTTTGGTCTTCCTTTTTTGGGACGTCGGGCCACCAAAAAAGGTGAGGTGACGGCCCAATGGGGGGTTTCGAGGTGCCCAAGGGCTTATCCTCCAGATTTAAGGATTCGCAAAAATCAGAATAAGCAAAGATGGAGAGTGGTCTTTTGGCTGGTTTACTATACGATTTTTATGCGTAGATAAATCTTAAAATGACCTTGATGTAAACTTATTCCTTTTTGGCGCTTATTAGATGATTTTCCGAGCCAAAATTCTTGATATTTTTTGTGACACTGATCTTTTTTTCTTCCTCTTTTCTCATGGCAAACGACGTTTAGTACCAGTTTTGAAGGCTATCATTAGTGCGTGTTTTCCACTAAGGCTAGCAGAGTTCCGAGGACCCAAAAAAAGCCCTATTTCGATCGTGAACCTAAAGAAGAAGCCCCCATCGAGATTCCGGGACTCGATAATGAGCCCCACAACACGCTCCAAATGGGCCCCCTATAAACAATAGAAGTTGCCCATTTCTCTGCCTGCTTTTTCTTTCGAAGGGCTATAGGGCCATTTCGTTGTTGTCGGCCATTCGTTGCGGTTTTTTCTGGGGCGAGGGGAGCAAGAGGGCCATGCTCACCATTTATTTCCGGAGGCGATTTCTTTGGAGAGGGAGGCTGTCCGGTTTCGGGCTTTTGGCTGGTAGATCGACACTGGACAAACTATATTATTGAGTGGTTTGAAGATTCTGAGGGGGAGAGAAAGCGAGAGAGTGTTAGAGAGCGAGAGAGAGAGAGAGAGAGAGCAAGAGAGCGCGAGAGAGACATAGAGAGATAGCGAGATAGAGCCAGAGAGAGGCAGAAAGAGAGAGCGGGAAAGACAGAGAGAGAGAGAGAGAGAGAGAGAGAGAGAGAGAAAGAGAGAGAAAGAGACAGACAGACAGAACGAGATTGAGATTCTTCGCCGCATACCTCTACAAAGCTTCTTTAATTTCCATTTTCACCTCTTGTGAAAAATCTGCCGTTTTGACCTGCTTCTCATCATTGAATTGAGCATGTTCTCATGCTTCGTGGTACATTTTCCTTAGTATTGAATTCATCGTCGGTTTTTTGGACTTGATTTTTCCAGGCATGCGCCCTCGGTGGGCGATCTTGCTGACGTGGGTGATCGCTGGAATCGCGGAGGCGACGACGAGACGGGAGCCTGCCGGACAAAATTTGATCATTCTCTTAATCGACGGTTATGGAGCGGCACTGCTCAACAAAACTAAACCCGAATCATTGATCGGAATTCAGGTTTGTATCGTTCTAGAGGGATATAAAAGGCAAAGTACCCTGATCTTTTCGATTTTCGAGATCAATTGAGCGTTTTGAGCAGCGAAAAGCAATATAAAGAAACTTACCCACGACAAGAGCTATGGCTTATTGGCTTCTCTGTCCATTTAATAGATTTCTTTTGGTTTAGAAAGTTGCCGACAATGGAGTCCAAGCCGAATACATCCGGCCCGTCTTTCCCACGCATTCCTGGCCGAACTGGTTGAGTCTGGTGACAGGTTGGTAGTAGTCGAATTTTTATAGGTTAATTTTAAAGTTCGATTTCCACAGCATTCCCAAAAATCTTTGCTAGTCTCCCTCTACTCTTGCGAACATAATTTGCTATTTCGAATTTTTTCAAGGATTTTTGCACCGTGACGAGGTGGTTGTTCGAAAAATTACGCATTTCCCCCTTGTAAAATCGTGGTTATCTCTCTGTCGCACTATCTCTTTCTCTCTCTCTCTTTCTCTCTCTCTCTCTTTCTCTCTCTCTCTCTCTCCCTGTTTCTGTCGATCTCTCTCTCACTCTCTTCCACCGCCCTTTAGAAATATCGCCCTGGCACCCGTTTTTGTGCTGTTCCACCGGGTAGTGTGTGGCCGGGAGTGACATGTGTAGGGGGTACCGCGCTGCAAAATTATGGTTGTAATCTGGGCAGCACATGCATTTGCTTTTGGCATTTCGAACGCTCTTTCACTCGCTCTCTCTCTCTCTCTCTCTCTCTCTGTCTCACTTTCTCTCCTTTTAGCTCTCTCGTTCACAGCTGTCTTTCGTCTCGCTCTCTCTCTCTCCGGGACCCAGCTGAAATTTAGCGACAGGATGGACAGAGCATAATGAAATATCGGTGGGACGGCTGTCCATTCTAGCCTAGCTAGTGGCTAGTCTGCCTGGGCTGGTGGAGACAGATTGAGACATTCCACTTTTACGCACTCCCCGCACTCACAAGATTAGTGTCACTAATCGGAGCGGGATTGGGTGAAAAATCATGTCGGCGGATGGGGAACCTATGGGAACCAAACAAACGCATAGAAATTTCAAAGCCAAAACAGACAAATTCATTCCAGGCCTGTATACGGAAAACCACGGGATGACCGCCGACTACATGTGGTCCCAGGAGAAAAAGCTGTCTTTTGAGCGAGGCAGTGGTAAGGAGCAGGCTTGGACCCGATAGTATCGGAAAGTATCGGTATCGATATCGGGTATCGGTCTCGGTATGTAAATTTGCATACCGATGCGATACGATACGATACCGATACCGATATCGGTCGATAATATAGTGAGGGAGGCCTAGGTTTGCCTAGGCTTCCTCAGGCTTTCTTAATTTGCATCGCCTAGGCTGAGCCGGGGTATGCAAAGTACGCCTGACCTCTAACGACCTGACCTCTACCCTCTAATACCGCTTTATCCGTGATTTCAGGCCCCAACGACACCGACGACCTCTGGTGGCAAGGTCTCCCGGCTCCAGTTTGGTATACGGCCGGCAAGAAGCGGGTGGATGTCCACTGCTATTACTTTGCGCATTGTCATGTGGGTCTTCAGGGTTTAAAGGATAAATGAAGTCAAGATATCGCTAAAATTCTCGAACTTTTACTTTCAGCGCGTCAACGGTGACTTGATCGTGATGGTGCCACCAGAAAGGGTTATGGATTTGTCATACCAAGATCAGACCGCAGATCTGGCTGAACATTTTGCACCTATTGTCAGAAAAATCTCGAGGCATCAGCACAAGAGACAACAAGTGGGTTTTAACCGACTTTGACGAAAAGCCACTAGAAACTCGAATTTCGCGATTTTCCGCTTTGTTCCTCTTCTGCTCCTTCGCTCTTTCTTTTTCTACTCTGAGTTCAGTAGCCCTTTGAGAATCGAACTTCCTAGGGCAAGTAGTTTGGATGGCAGTGCTTGAATTCTACTCTTTTTAGCTTGTGCTCATGCGCTACGGTAACTTGGCAAATGCCATTAGGGAATTCGGAGAAGGCAGTGATGAAGTCGAGGGAGAGTTGAGCCGGATTGATCTGCATATTCACGATCTGCAGGTTGGTTTTATTTGCAGTTTTTCAACTCCTGAGGTTTAGAAGAAGCTCGAGGAGCAGAAGCTGGACGAGTCGACGAACCTGATCATCGTCAGCGATCATGGTAAGTTTTTGCGCACTTACAGCTTCGCGTTGTCAAGCATAGCGTGTTTACTGTTACCACCCTTTTAAGAAAGAAATTCCATTTTTAGGCCTTGGCAAAGTTCTCGAAGAGGAGCAGTACTTCCTGGAAGAATGCCTCTCAGACTATTCCAAGGTCACCAAGTTGGTCAACAGCCACGGCATGGTCATGGTGTTCACCAAGCCGGATGATGAATTCAATGTAATACTTACTTAACTGGCTAAAACTTGCTGCAGATCTTCTACGAGTTCAAAGTGTGCGAGCAATGGGCTCCACAAGGAGATTATGATGAGGATGAGCAACAGCCCGTAGTAGTTTACAGGTAAGTATTGCACTCTCTCTCTCTCTCTCGCTCTCTCGCTCTCTCTCTCTTTCTCTCTCTCTCTCTCCCGCTCGTTATCTCTCTCGCTACGTAAAACTTTTCAGAATGGCCGACATCCCCGAAAATCTGCGATGGGCCGGCTCGAGATTCATGTCCGGAATCGTGCTCATCACCCGACCGGGGGTTACTGTCGTATCGGTAAGTTTCGAGAGAGAGAGAGAGAGAGAGAGAGAGAGAGAGAGAGAAAGAGAGAGAGAGACAGTGAGCGAAACATAGATCGTATTGATTTTCAGCGTGAGCTCCCCTCAATCCCCGCGGAAGTCTCTACCACCGTAAAAGCAGTAGGTGGCTGGGAGCCGGACAGCCCGGAGATGCGGGGCATCTTCTTGGCCAAGGGGCCTGGTACGCCATTTAAAAGCTTGTGGCATATGAAATAAGTAAATCAACCCTCCTTGTTTTCTCGCCTTTTCGAGAGCTTTCGATAGATACCTAAATCGTAAAAATCGGAATCGACTGCGGACCGCTAGGTAGGGGGGGTTTTTTTGGGACACCCTTTAGATAGATTTCTCGAGCGTGACATTTACCATTGCAAAGTCAATATCTTCCATTTTTCAGCCTTCAAAGTCAACGAGAAGTACGGTCCGATCGACATGGTTGATGTTTATCAGGTTTTTGAATTTTTCATCATATTTTTTGACATTACCAGTGCATACGTACGCTTAGAAACTTACAACCTGCTTCAGGTTGCCCTCAACATCCTCGGAATCGAGCCCCCACACCCTCATAACGGCACCTGGTCCCAGATTGAGACAATGCTGGCCGAGGGATGGTAAGTACCATCATTTGGAGATTCCAAAAGATTCTTTGCTAGCCTTGCCCATCTAGCCAGATTCGCCATAATAGCCATTTTTACGGATTTCCTATATATCAGGTTGGAAGGTAAGTCCTGTCGCCGAGATTTTGGAAGGCTGGCTAAATTCGTAGATAGCTCCATTCTGCACATGCAATATGTCATTTTGTAGCTCATGGCCTGAACCGTTGCGGGAGGTGGGTCCTAGACCGCCAAAAGCCAGGAGGACCGAGATACGGGCCCAAGAAGTTTTGGGAAAAATTGAGCGAAGGTGTTTTTGCAAGTTATCTCTGCATGGAGCAATTTGCATGCGATACCTTTAACACCAATCGATAGCTCTCGAGGAGTAGATACCGATAGATCTTGAGATCATCAAAATCGGACACTGGATGGCCGAGATATGAGCCTTTGAAATTTGGACCATTTCTTACAATTTTTCTCGAAATCCCATACATTTCGCTGGATTTGACCGGCAGGTGCCGAAAATTGCCGCTTTATTTTTGGACGCGCCGAGCGGATTTTGACCAAATGTATGGGATTTCGAGAAAAGTTCTAAGGAATGGTCCAAATTTCAAAGGCCCATATCTCGGCCGTCCATTGTCCAGTTTTGATGATCTTAACATCTATCGATATCTACTCCTTGAGAGCTATCGATTGGCGTTAAAGGTATCGCATGCAAATGACTCTATGCAGAGATAACTTGCAAAAACACTTTTTGGTGATTTTGTGAAAAACTTCTTGGGCCTGTATCTCGGCTCTCTTTAATTTTGGCGGTCTAGGACCCACCTCCCGCAACGGTTCAGGCCAAGAGCTACAAAATGACATATTGCATGTGCAGAATGGAGCTATCTACGAATTTAGCCAGCTTTCCAAAATCCCGGCGACAGGACTTACCTTCCAACCTGATATTTATGTTTACTTAACCCAGGTAAAGTACCTAAATTTTAGTCGGTTTACCCGGTTACGACACATAAATCCGAAACTTGTTAACCTTCCAAAACGATCTGAATTTAGCGTGCTGTGAAAATTTGACGCAGTGTTTTGTACGTATTTATCGGAAAAAGTATTCTGAAAAGCGACAAAAGTTTAGCTGTGCTACCGTAACCACCAAATAAGGAAAATAAGGCAATCTTAACAATACTGTAACTTAACGACCCTCAAATATTTATTTCCAAGGTTCAATTCTGCTATTAAACTTTATTTATAAATATCGTTATTAAAGATTATTACAAAAACTCAAGCGTAAGTGACGGGGGATAGTACGAATACCGTAACCTACCGTACCGGAGCGTAAAAACACTAAAATTGTGTGTAATTCAGCCAAACACCCTTTGGCTGCCGACAGCTGGTAAAAGAACGATGGAGAAATTACAGGTTAACCAAAAAATATATTAGCACGAGCTTCTCCCCAAATTTCCCACTTCCGCCTCTCTCCGCTTCTCCCAACTATCGCTGGTCCAGACTTTATACTTTAAAAAATACTCAATTTAAATCCTGATTTTCAGGGACGAGCGGCCGAACAGCGAAAATGCCATCAGCAGCCGATTCTCCGTTTCCGGTCTAATTTCCGTTGTCTCGATCTTGCTCCTCCGATTGCTACTTTAAATTATTCCATCTTTTAAGCTCTAAAATCCTTCTAACAATTCGACATTTGCCTAAACAATGGGTATTCGCACAACTGCCTTACCAGCTCAGCCATCTCAGCGTAAAAAAAAGTATTTTTAATCCTGAAAACCCGCTTTAACACCCCCGAACAAATCCCGGTTGCTCATTTTTGTAATTGATACCGTAGTTTTCATACTGTAGTCAAAAAAACTAATAATTTTACTTGTTTTCTTCTACCCTGAATTCGCCAGACGTCTTTCTGTATCCCCTCGTCTTCCCAATACTTTTAGTCGCTACCCCCGTGCAATCCATTAAAATCTTTTTAAAAGAAGAGTTGATATTTTTGTCATGATCCGCCATGCATTAGTTTTTCAATAAAAATACTAATAAATAAGGTGGATAATCAGAATTAAAACAGGACGACCAAACGCAAATAAAAAATTTGGATTCGGTGGCAACCACCGACATGTTCACTCTTGATCAATTATTGCTGAAGTCCATCTCGGCATTCAGCTCTTCTCTATTTCCGACCGGCTCCAGTTTCTTCGAGTAAAGCTGCAGCATCTCATCGAGTCGCTCTAGATCGCTTTTCCCATCTTGGATCGGGGCGGTCTGCCGGTATTTATCCTGCAAACCGAAGGTTCAGCTAGCAATTTGGCCTTGGGTCCCTGGTCCGGATGACAAACGGAAACGGTAGGAGTCTAGGAAATCCCCCCCCCATTTTTCAGCCATACGTCCTATTAATTCGTGGAGTATCTCAAAATGTTTGCCGTGGTCGTATTACTCTAAAAAAGTTGTTTCCAGACGCCAAAAATTGCTAGAAAATTTCTACAAGAATTTAAAATGTGAAAACAAAAAGCATGCGATGCCGAAAATACTACCGGCTTCAAACTCAAATATTTTCTTTTTCGCTAGTTTTTTCGATTGAGATCTACTGTAGCCTTATCCTACAGAGCAAGAGCTACATTTTGGAACCATTGTCAGTTCTGTAGGCCTAAGGAGCGCCGGGATACGAAAACTCACTCTGGTCCGGGAAAAATTAATTAATGGAAACCCATACTTATAATTGTTACAAAAAAATTTCTAACAATTTTTGACGTAAGCAAACAATTTTTGGGATGGTAATTTGACCACGGCGAACATTTTCAGGTACTCCGCGCATTAAAGGGATAGGGGCGGCATAAGTCAATCGATTACGCGCGGGAAAGCAAATGTCTCTGCGCCTCTCCCCTGGGCGCCCTCTCTGCCCTGTTGGCTACTTGCCAATTTGTTGATGGGGGGGGGGGGGATCGACACATGCCGTCGGCAGCCCTTTAATAGAACGCCTGGCCAAAAAAGGGGGTGAGGGGTTTCCTAGACTTTAGCCAACGGAAACCCACATGCATTCTGCTCAAATACGGGTGTCTCAGACATTCGGCGGGCGTAGGGCGACGTCGCGGGTCGAAGATGAGAATTTTGCATAGCAGTTCCTGGAGGTCTGATTCTAAAATCGGCAGCCGTCATACGCGATGTGCATTCATGGGAAATTATCCAAGCCAGAAAAGGTACAAAAACAAACTCGTAAGCGCCGAGCTGTCCGGACCTAGTCGATTCAAGGGTTCCACAAGCGCGTAGGCTAGTTGACTCGGACACGCGGCCGTTTTGAGGAAGTGATTATGGAACCTGGAATTTCATTGAAATGCATTTTAAGCCGTTTTTTCGCCGTCTAGATCGTGTACTGTATTTTAGTGTACCTCAAGGTCGCTTAGCGAACAGGCGAGACAATATTTAGAAAAAACTGATGCCCTTGCAACTTACGTCTCTACGTAGCGGTGCTCCGGCAGCCCGAGGATAGTGAGAATTTGCAACAGCACCGACACTTGGCCTTGTTCACGCAATTGCTAAATTTCGGGGTAATTTTAGTCAAAATCCGGGCGCTTAAAAGGTAGGTGTAATCGCATTCGAATTGTCTAGACACCAGCCGATTACAGCCGCTTCGCGACTGTAATCGACTGGCCTTCGGGCTACCCTCCATATTCTACACCCCCATAGCCGAAATCGCCTTCAAAAACTACCTACATACCTTCCTGATGGCTTCAGATACCCCCATGGCTGAAATCCCCTTCAAAAACTACCTAAATACCTTCCTGTTGGCTTCAGATACCCCCATGGCTGAAATCCCCATCAAAAACTACCTAAATACCTTCCCGATGGCTTCAGATACCCCCCATGGCTGAAATCCCGTTCAAAAACTACCTAAATACCTTCCTGATGGCTTCCGATACCCCCCATAGCCGAAATCCCCTTCAAAAACTACCTAAATACCTTCCCGATGGCTTCAGATACCCCCCATGGCTGAAATCCCCTTCAAAAACTACCTAAATACCTTCCTGATGGCTTCCGATACCCCCCATAGCCGAAATCCCCTTCAAAAACTACCTAAATACCTTCCCGATGGCTTCAGATACCCCCCATGGCTGAAATCCCCTTCAAAAACGACCTAAATACCTCCCTGATGGCTTCAGGTACCCCCCATAGCCGAAATCCCCTTCAAAAACGACCTAAATACCTCCCTGATGGCTTTAGATACCTCCCCTAGCCGAAATCCCCTTCAAAAACTACCTAAATACCTTCCCGATGGCTTAAGATACCTCCCCTAGCCGAAATCCTTTTAAAAAACGAAAATAACGACCGACCGGATGGAATGAGAGAGAAAAAGAAATGAAATCCCCCGTAAAAATTTTCATCCACGAAACGCGCGCCACCTGGCTCACTATGTCCAAAATCACCCCAACCTCCGTCCCCCACCCCTTTTACTAAGGGAAAAACTTTCAAAGTTAATTTTAATAATTTAAACTAAAACTTTTTCATAATTTTTTTATCAGTTTGGGGGTTTCTGACCACGCTCTATCCGAATCCGAAGAGAGTTAAGCTCTAGCTCTTTTCCCCTTCGAGTTGAATTCGGGACCGGACAGACAGAGACCACAACAAAATTATTATAGTTGATCCTAAATTCCAGATTTCCCGCTTTAAAAAATCCTTCAAACGCTTTTCCACTTTCAAAAACTTAATTTTTGTTGTCAATATTGTGTTTTATGTTGTATTTTTGTAAAAAACGTTTCAAGGGGTTTTTTTGAAAGGCCCTAAAAGTCACATCCTGCAACTTATGGTGGGAAAAAAATTCCAAAAATTGGGCTAAACAGACCTCCTGATTGAACGCCGGCGACTGCTTGTAGTTTCGTGGCAGGAACAGCTTGTTGCCCAGCATCTCCACCGCAATAAGAGCGACCGCCCAGACATCGACTGAAAAAAATCTGAATCGAGTTTCAGAGCGTACAACGTGTTTTCATCGAAATTTAAGCATACTTTGCAATCCCCAAATTTCCAGAACTTGCTGCTAACCGCGCGCACAGGTAAAAACCCTACCACCCGAATCGTAAACAACATGCTCCACCAGCAGCTCGGGCGGACGGTAGAGGGGCGGCGTCCCCACGCGATTTTTTGTAGTTTGCAGCCCATCGCTATCAGTTAGGCTAAAACTTGTCGCGTTCTCAAACTCTGCTTGGGAAACGAACCCGGAGCATCCAAAGTCCAGAATCTTGATTTTGAAATCTTGCAGGTTGAGCCCGACGTTTTTCGGGTTGAGATCCTAAAGTAGCGCGATAGACTTAGGTACAGGAGAACGAGGGAAGGAGTGAACGAGATCAAGCTCAACGACAAAATACCCTGTGCATCACTCCACGATGGTGCAGAAAATCAAGCGCCATGAACAGCTGCGTCATCAACGCGGCGATGTGTCGATGGTCCCGCGGTCTGTGGATCTTCTCCGGGGCGTTCAGGCGCCTGGAAAATTGTTTTTTTTTGCGTCGTAGAGCCTCCGCAAAAATTCGACAATAAAAATAAAACAATAAAAACGTAGATCCAACGCACTTAAAGTATTTGTCCAGCGTCGTTTCCATACGTTCGGTGACGATCCACGTGTATAGTAATTTACCGTGTTGGTCCTTCTCGTAGAACGTGTCCAGGCAGCGAACAATCTGGAGCAAAACCTTGTAGAGAATTAATATGCTGAATGAAAAGCTTTTTATTCGAAAAACCCTTCGACGTACATGCGGGTGGACAAGGTATTGCGTGTTCTGCAGCTCGCGCATCAGCCATTTATGCGATTTGTCGCCCTTCAACTCGTCCATCTTGTACCTGATTTGAGGTGGGTTGTTGTGCGAAAGGCGAGAGTCTAGCCGCCCAGCCTTATGGCGCGCCCTTCTGACCGTATCCCCGTCGTCCCGCAACGCCTCTATGTGTCGTAAACGCCTCCGCTCTCGGGATTTGCCTGTCTGTCGGTCTGTTGTCCGTTGTGTTGTCTGTTGGATCTGTCGGAATTGTTGTTGTGTCCCCCCCCCTTATTCGCCCTAATTTTTATGCACGACCCCACAGCTGCCGTTTACCGAATATATTTTATCCTTCATTCGTTAATCTAGTCGCGCGGCAAAAGCTTGGCTTAAAACCGGAACATACCGTTTTGCGGCCACGCGACGCATCTTCCCATTTTGAAGTTGTGCACCACTAAATTTTCGGTTTGTTTTAGGATCCAGCCGGTGACAGTAGTAGAGAAAAAAAGATCGTTAGATAGCAGAGAGACATAGAGAAAGCTAGAGAAAGCAAACGACCCACATGACCGTCGCCTGGGTGCCTCGGCCGATGGAGTGGTAGTGATCAAGGGGAATGTCGGCCCTTCGATAGTGTTTATCCTCCTGAAAAACCGGGCCTTTTGGCCGTACCTTATGTCCTTTTGTATAATTTGTATTTTCACGACTAATGCTTTCAAACGCTTTCATGATGCCAAGAAAATCTTAACTCGGTGTTTTTCATTATTTTTCATTTGACGTCCGAATCCTCGAAACACCAACAAAAAATAAATTTCCGTTACTCGATAAAACGCCAGGCTTACCACATCCGGGGAATAATTGTCAGGCATTGTCATATGGACCTGGTTCAACAGTCCCGTTGGTTGGTCTTGTTGCACTGGCAAGTGCACCACCACGCTTCTCTTCCCGACAGACATGGACATTTTCTGAGGGTTCGGATGATGTAAACAGGAGGTACGTATGGAAGGAACAGTTCTTTACAAATTTTACGAGTAACGTTAGCGTCTTCGAAAGTGATAAGCGGCTAACCGAGTTTAAAAAATCGAACAGTGCCCTTTGTGGCTTGGCACAATTTTCCGTACTTTTTTGGTGGCTTGTAAAAAGAATGGTCGAATTAGGCGCGTTGTACCGTTTTGAAAGTTTAGAAAGTTAGTTTTCGGGGTTTAAACGGGCTCTCGCCAAAGTTCCGAACTGCGCAGAATAATTTCGGAGTTCCCTTAGCCAAACGGACTTTGCAACTTTAGCGCGTTTTGAATGGATCTTTTTAAACTTTCAAAACTGTACGATGTTACCACGTCGACCATTCTCGTGCACAAGGTCGAGAAACCCGTGCCAAGCCTCGTTAATGTCGCTCGCAAACAGCGTTTTTAATTTGTGGCTCGATATGACTGGAAAATATGGTGCAAAGCCACGCAAACGTAAAAAAGGGAAAAGATGAAAATCCAAATCGTTGCGCAAAAGATCCAGTATTTCCTGGCCCTAGCAGAAATGCAAAATGGACAACAGCCTATCGAAAAGGCTGTTACCCGTTTTGCGATAACGAATCGTGGAGCGGGCGCTCTTTCCCGTTGCTAGCCGGGAATTCCTTGTGCAAGACATTTCTGGTAGGGCGTAATCGATGCACGGCGCGACTGTGTTTTGAGCGCCACTTCCAAGTTGTAAATTCAGGCCAGAATGCAATAGAAAAGGCGAGCAAATATATTTAAATGAAAAAAGTGTTGCAGCTAATTTTATTCAATGTATCTTTAAAGCTGCGACGCTAGCTGGCATTTTGCATTTAAATAAGTAAACGTCAAGTAAGACCACGGTATTCATGGTGATTGGTATATTGGCAGCCCTCAAAGTATTATGCCAAATTAGAGGCTCTATGATTCTTATCGTTTTCAGATTTGAAATGCCGTCAGAAAAATACAACGACCACGATTTTCCTTGCCGGCCCAGCCATTTCCTGGCGCATGAGAAATCGGGTTACGGTAAATTGCTCGCATAAGGATTCGCTACGTCTCACTGCCAATGAAGATAGCTGCCCTCTCAAACAGGTTTAGAGGGCCGCAATTTGTTTATGTTATTTTAAAATTGCTTGAAAATTTTGCTGCAGATTGCACGTTCGCATAGCTACACCTCTCTGAGAGTCTCGATCGAAAATTAACGGGCCAGGCAGCGCCATAAAAACATGGAACTTTATTACTCAATAGCTGCCATGAATTTCTGATTGATGCCCATTAAATGTTGTAAAATACAAGCCACAAATAAATACGATAGTTGAACCAACAAAAACAGGCAAATGAAGTCATGTAGTTATTGCATCGGCCGTAACTCCTTCGAAAGACTGTGCAGCACCTCGGCTAGTTGTTGCTTTTGCCGATCTATTCCGCCACCATGAAAATCTTGCTTCGACCGAAACTTGTCCTGAAAATTTGGGTTAATTGCGTTATATGACAAGCATAGTGACGAGGTTATCCGCACCCACATGCATTCTGGCCAAGTACGGATGTTTTAGACAATCAGCGGCCTCTGGACGCCGCCTTGGGTCAAAGCTCAAGCTTTGACAAAGTAAGTCTTTGAGGTCATCAGCTGAAGAACAAGCATTTCAGTAAGAACCAGGGTTGAAAAACCGCTTCGCGGCTTTTCAAACCTGGACCCGTCTAGGACTTCTGAAAATTTGACTTTACATAGGGCTTGCCGAATGCCGCTCACCAAAAAATGAAAAGCGCACGCTCCCTCCATTTTTATAGGCTACGGCCACTTCCGGTCAATGCAAATTGCCTCTTAACAAAGAGGTTTTTCGATATATTTACAAAAACTTAATTTTAATAGCGAAAACAGCCGATTTTCTTCAATTTTATATGTGTGCACTCATCTCGGGACCATTACGCACCTAATGACGTATCATACGTACCTTCAAAACCTTCCCCTGAGGCTGTAGGTGCGGTAAATACTTACGGAAGTTGCATGCAAATATACACACACACACACACACAGACACTATTTTTTTATATATAGTAGGATACGATGATTTTGAATCGACCTTTCAGCGTCGTGTTGTCCGGGCCTAGCCTTGTAGCTCTTGAAAAGACGAATTTTTTCATGTACTCGAAATAGGTCTACAATAAGGGATCGCCGATTTATAAAGCAAATATTCAAATAGTGCCAAAAAAAGGATAGGTCCACACTTTACATGTGATTACAATAAACAAAGGGCATGCTAATCAGGATGCTTACAAGGGAAGTGCACGACCGGCCCACGAGAAATCGACACGAGACATAGTGGATCAGATAGAATCGGACACGGGGATTCCGAATCTGTAATCAAAATTTGCTAAATAAAACGGATAAAAAAGTTATGAAGCATCAAAGTTGGCCAAATCGCCAAAAAATGTACCTTTAAGGGCCCGTATAAACCGGGGTAACGGAATTGAGGAGAAAAGAATTAGTGCATCTTGTTCAGCAGGAAAAGCGCTTTCGAATCAGCTGTCATACGTAGCATTTGCAAACAATTCACTGAAAAAAGTTTTTTTGGATTCACGGGCAAGGGTATGGCCTGTCAAGTTCATAGAAGAGATTTTCGCGAAATCATCGTAAATTTGAAGTAAGATAGCTCATTAGAAAGCGCTTTTTCTGCTGAACAATATGCACTAATGGGTTGTGGCAAATTTCCATTCCCTGGGCCTTTACAGGCCCATAAAAGTCCGATTTTGGGCGATTTTACCAACTTTGAAGCTTCATAACTTTTTTCTCCGTTTTATTTAGCAAATTCTGATTACAGATTCGGAATCCCCGTGTCCGATTCTATCAGATCCACTATGTCTCGTGTCGATTTCTCGTGGGCCGCTCGTGCACTTCCCTTGTTAGTTGGATATTATGCATAATCTTAAGATGAGCTCAAAAAATGCAACCTGAAATTTTGCTAGCGTAATCAGAATCCAACTAGCATTTAATATTCATGCCATTGTTTGCGCACTGCGAGCAGGCGCCAATCACTTGTGCAAGGCATGGCCGGCGCCGAAATCAATGTTGAAACAAAATCAAACCACAAAACAAACAGACAAATTAGGCCAAATCTTTTCCAGTTAAAAACTAAAAACGCCTTGGAGGAGGTCAAGAAACGGATCATTTCCTGGCCGCGCCATTTTGCGGCACAAGCAAAAACGAGTTGTCCTGAAACCAACAAAAACATCGCAATTGGTGTCCAGAATCTTGTACCTAAGGCCCTATTACACCTCGTGCCTCAAAGTGCCGGGTTCGCATAGGCACAAACTAAAAATGTACGGTTTTCAGTCGCGAAGCATAATTTCCACTGTTTATTGCAAATTCGAATAACACACGACGACTATTTGAAGACAAACACATTCGCTGGGTAGATGGGAGGGCACAGGCAGACTTTTGAGAACTGTTTTTCAATCACAATACGACACACCGAGACAGAGAGAATAGTAAAAACATCACATCTCGGCGACAGTCCAAAATTACAACGCAAAACCCTAAGTAAGGCAATACAGTACATTGTGAAGAAAAAGTTAAGGTAGATAATGGGCGGCGGCGGCTTCTGGGCGTTCAGATGTGGCTCTTCACGTTGCGCACCGTCTCGTCGAACGCCTTGGCGACGTATCTGGCAAAGAAAGTGGGTTCAAGAAAATGGTAAACGGGCTTACTCGACGTTTTTCGTGTTAAGCCCGCAGAGGTTGATGCGACCGTCCTTGAGGAGGAAGACCTTGTGCTTCTCGACAAGGTGGTTGACTTGGTCAGCTGAAAACGGATCATAATAGTGCTGGGCTGTTAGTGGGGGGTGTAGCAGGGGCAAAACTAATTCGCGATCCGATGCATGGTTCTTTTTTAAATCAGGAAAAGGGCCCCAAAAGAGTCGTATGGGGGGTACCTCAAACCAAAAGGGGTTAGCGGGCTACGCCCGCTACCCCCGATTTTTCCCAGCATTCCCATACAATCAGATACCGAAATATAGGCCCTTTTCATAGCAATTTATACGATTTTTAAGATAAAACGCATTAAAAAATTTTCGATTTTGGTAAAAATGTATGAAAAATGGCCGAAAAAGGCTCAAATCTTCGCATTTAAAAAACCAAAAAATTTGTATTGGCGTTTGACAATTAAGAGCTCTTAAAACATTGGAAAATACCTTATATATTAGCAGAAAGAAGAACAAAAATTCGTCGCCCCCGCTAATAGTCCAGTACCATCATAATAATGTCAAAAAGCTAAAGAAACCACCTGTCAATCCGGTGTAGGAGAACATGCCGATCTGCTGGGTGATGTGGTCCCACGTGCCGGGCGTGCCGAGCTTCTCGAGGTGTTGGCGGAGGGCGGCGCGCATCTCGCGGATTCGGCTGGACATCGTCTAGAGAAAAATAGCTTCAAACCTGGTAAAAAAAATAGATACCTTAATCGCATCGTGCCACTGTTGGCAAAGGACCGGGTCGGAGAGCACCCTGTGTACAACCTAAACGACAAATTTAGACAAAATAACGCTTGAACGACCTTGGCACCATGGGCGGGCGGGTTCGACCAGTTGGCACGGATGATGAGCTGCATCTGGGACTTGAACGACGGGATGACGGCCTTGTCCTTGACGATGATGGTCAGGTGGCCGACGCGCTCGTCTGAAAAAAATCATAGTGCGACAGATTAACGCTATAACGTACTGTACAGGCCGAAATTCTTGGCGAACGACTGGGCGATGACCATCTCGAGGCCCTGGTCGATGAAGTAGCGGATGGCCCACGCGTCGGCGTCCGGGTCGCCGGACGCGAACCCTTGGTAGGCAATGTCGAAGAAGGTGAACAGGTTCTTTCTCTAAAAATTGAGGTTTTAGAAAAAACAAAGAACTCGTACCTTCATGACCTCGCAGATCTGCTTCCACTGCTCCTGTGTGGGGTCCATGCCGGTGGGGTTGTGGGCGCAGCCGTGG